GAATTGTCATTTAAAAAAGAGAGATTGCAAGAGCACACTTTTTCCTTTAAGATGAGAGAAAACAGTTAAAGGACAAGCAGAACGGAGTTTATGATATATAGTTGTGGCACAGCTATGTTCAGGGTTTTTTTCTGTAGATACTTTTAAAGGTAGGTATGGTTTCTTTTTGGTAGAGCATAATTTAACTAGTTGGTATTTTCAAGGTACGACTCCATCAAAATTACTGTTTACACATAAAAGCTGAGTTTGAGTCTCTAAATGCTGTTGCATTTGTGAGGGCAGGCTCACCTCTAAGACAGCTGCAGCAACATATGAAATTATGTGTTGGACAATGTCTGTAGGTATACTGAAATCTGAATGTAGAGGTTAATGTGCTTTTTCCATATGTGTTGCTTGGAAGTGAAGCAATTACCACTTTGACAAAAGTGGCAGCAGAGGTAGGAAGCTCAAGGACATTGTTTACAGATGAGCAATGTCAAACAGACTGAATACACAGAGAGACAGTTTAGAAATACTAAGAACAACCGTGATGGGAAACACAGCAAGGCCGTTTCATATCATTCTCTCTTAAGGGTTTAAGTGGTAACCAGTCTTTGTAATTGCCTCTCTACGTTGTTCAGATCATACATTCAGTGAAAAATAACTTTTGTAGAGCTCTTCCAGTGATTGGAAATGATACTAGCACAGTACTAAAGGCATTCTCTTAATGCCAGTAATGGAATGCAGCACTGTTAAGACAGCTAACAAATCCAAAGAATGTGCTCTATTTCTAAATCTCTTGTATCTGTCATCCTAAACAAAATATGTATTACATGTATGACTCACTAAGCACAAGGACAGAGAAATCTGCCCTTTAATGGCCTCTCAAAATGACAGTACCAAATGGCTTTGAGAAGGTCAAGTCTGATTTAAATTGTTGATGAATTGGAAGCTAATTCACTAGAACTGAATATTAATAGGGAACAGTGGTATATACTATGGTTTAGAGCCTAATAAGCATATTAATGAGCAGTAAAAAATATTTTTCTTTTCACCTCATGTAAAATTGTAGAGCTACCAATATATCAACATTTTCTAAGTTACTTTTCTCTTACTGTGGCTGAGAGGCAGTTGTTCACTGATTTGATGCTTAGCTCTCTTGCACAGTGTGTTTGATGATCTGTCAAACTTGGTATCATCAAAGTGTAAGGACAGTTTTGTACAAATCACTAATAAACTTAGAGAGAAAAAAAGCAATTAACATCTTAAAAACTAAATCCACTGTGATAAGCACTCCAATTAGAAATTTCATTATTTCCCCGGTCCATTTTATGTTGAATATTGGGTTTTATTGCCAAATACCTGAAAGCCAGATTGGAAACAAGCCACAACTGTCAAAAATATAACAGTTCTGGCTATTTGAATCTGTTACATTGTGATGTTTCTCATGAAAATTTCATGAAGAGCATTCATTCAAAGAGATTCTATGCATAAGGGGGATGGATGGAATTTAATTACCCTTATTAAAAGTAAGAAAGGAAAGCTCTTTACTACTCCATCCTGTTAGTATTCAAGATAGATTATCTTTGTTGTACACTTATGTATTTGCAAGACGGACTCCAGGATTTCCTGTATGAGCCAAGTAGGAAAGGAAAGGTCAGGTCATAAAAATCCTGTTCTGTGTCACAAGTCAAATCTTGTCAGTTACTCCCAAAGTAAAGACTTCGTGTTTATAAACAGACATGAAACATACCTTTCTTTGGGAAGAGCCTATAGCTAGTGAAGGATTTGACACTTAACCAATGACTGGTAGGAATACCAGCTCTGAAAAGTTATGCAAACTTACTTGGAGAATTGTGTTTACTGTACCAGAGTAGTATCTATTAAGTAGCAACTAAGTAGCTCATGGGCGACAGCAGAAACTGCAAAGATAAATAGGATGTACTTGCCTGCTATACGTTTTTCAGAAAAGTCTGAAGACTTCCCTGAAACTATTTGAAAATATGACATTTTTCATGAAAGAGAGTTGACATGGAGCAATTTATTCTAAGTTAATTTTAATCTATTGCATGTCAGTAACCACCAGTCAAGACATGTAATAAGATACGTGTTTTATAGTTAGTATTGATCCTCTTCCTTTTTTTTTTTTGCTTTTCCTTTTTGAACTGAAATAATACAAATTATTTTGCAATATTTTTGCCAGTTTAATGTCAATGAAGAGTAAGATGATGTAATTCAAATAGATTATTTTACCTATGCTAACTTGATTTCTGAGAAATTGCCTGATCCCACTGTGCTTCCAGTGTTACTTGCTAGTGTGTATCATCTTAAGAAGGCAAATTGCTCTCAATTTTGCTATTGATGGCACTAGGGTGAGGATTTTTGACCATATCTGAGTGTTTTAGTTGACACAGTTGTACCCATTCAAGATCATTATGAATGTCCTGTCACTTTAACTTTGATATCTGCATAGCTCCAATGTTTAGAGTTTCTCAGCACTTTGCAATCTTAAAACGCTTTCATGCTCACCACACTTCTCTGTAGGAGTAAAGCGCTGTCATACCCATCTTACAGATGGACAACTGAAGCACGGGGACATTAAATGTTAACACCAACAGCACATAGGTAATAATGATAGAAGTGAGAAATATAACCTGGGTCACCTAAGTCCCTGGCCAAATCCTATACTGCGTGATCACACTTCCTTATGTACTTGTCTCATGTAAAGACAGAGTTTTTTCCCAGTTTAAATTTTTCTTTTCACCTCATGTAAAATTGTAGAGCTACCAATATATCAACATTTTCTAAGTTACTTTTCTCTTACTGTGGCTGAGAGGCAGTTGTTCACTGATTTGATGCTTAGCTCTCTTGCACAGTGTGTTTGATGATCTGTCAAACTTGGTATCATCAAAGTGTAAGGACAGTTTTGTACAAATCACTAATAAACTTAGAGAGAAAAAAAGCAATTAACATCTTAAAAACTAAATCCACTGTGATAAGCACTCCAATTAGAAATTTCATTATTTCCCCGGTCCATTTTATGTTGAATATTGGGTTTTATTGCCAAATACCTGAAAGCCAGATTGGAAACAAGCCACAACTGTCAAAAATATAACAGTTCTGGCTATTTGAATCTGTTACATTGTGATGTTTCTCATGAAAATTTCATGAAGAGCATTCATTCAAAGAGATTCTATGCATAAGGGGGATGGATGGAATTTAATTACCCTTATTAAAAGTAAGAAAGGAAAGCTCTTTACTACTCCATCCTGTTAGTATTCAAGATAGATTATCTTTGTTGTACACTTATGTATTTGCAAGACGGACTCCAGGATTTCCTGTATGAGCCAAGTAGGAAAGGAAAGGTCAGGTCATAAAAATCCTGTTCTGTGTCACAAGTCAAATCTTGTCAGTTACTCCCAAAGTAAAGACTTCGTGTTTATAAACAGACATGAAACATACCTTTCTTTGGGAAGAGCCTATAGCTAGTGAAGGATTTGACACTTAACCAATGACTGGTAGGAATACCAGCTCTGAAAAGTTATGCAAACTTACTTGGAGAATTGTGTTTACTGTACCAGAGTAGTATCTATTAAGTAGCAACTAAGTAGCTCATGGGCGACAGCAGAAACTGCAAAGATAAATAGGATGTACTTGCCTGCTATACGTTTTTCAGAAAAGTCTGAAGACTTCCCTGAAACTATTTGAAAATATGACATTTTTCATGAAAGAGAGTTGACATGGAGCAATTTATTCTAAGTTAATTTTAATCTATTGCATGTCAGTAACCACCAGTCAAGACATGTAATAAGATACGTGTTTTATAGTTAGTATTGATCCTCTTCCTTTTTTTTTTTTGCTTTTCCTTTTTGAACTGAAATAATACAAATTATTTTGCAATATTTTTGCCAGTTTAATGTCAATGAAGAGTAAGATGATGTAATTCAAATAGATTATTTTACCTATGCTAACTTGATTTCTGAGAAATTGCCTGATCCCACTGTGCTTCCAGTGTTACTTGCTAGTGTGTATCATCTTAAGAAGGCAAATTGCTCTCAATTTTGCTATTGATGGCACTAGGGTGAGGATTTTTGACCATATCTGAGTGTTTTAGTTGACACAGTTGTACCCATTCAAGATCATTATGAATGTCCTGTCACTTTAACTTTGATATCTGCATAGCTCCAATGTTTAGAGTTTCTCAGCACTTTGCAATCTTAAAACGCTTTCATGCTCACCACACTTCTCTGTAGGAGTAAAGCGCTGTCATACCCATCTTACAGATGGACAACTGAAGCACGGGGACATTAAATGTTAACACCAACAGCACATAGGTAATAATGATAGAAGTGAGAAATATAACCTGGGTCACCTAAGTCCCTGGCCAAATCCTATACTGCGTGATCACACTTCCTTATGTACTTGTCTCATGTAAAGACAGAGTTTTTTCCCAGTTTAAATAAATACTTCCAGGGACGGTGACTCAACCACTTCCCTGGGCAGCCTGTTCCAATGTTTAACCACTCTTTCAGTAGAGAAATTTTTCCTCACGTCCAATCTAAACCTCCCCTGGCGCAACTTGAGGCCGTTTCCTCTCGTCCTATTGCAAGTTACTTGGGAGAAGAGACCGACACCCACCTCACTGTTGTTGATAGGCATGGTAATTCAATATTTCACATTAAAAAATAAGGACTCTCACAAGCAGAGCAACATCAGTGTTTTAAAGTACCATAGTGGGAGTCTAATGATTATGCACTACATACAGTATCTATGCCAATTTAATGCATTTTATGTGTAAGTATAAAGTTTGTAGCCACTTTTTATGAACTTTCTATTTTGTATCAGCATTTTGATCACTGTAAGTTACCAAAAGTACTGCCTGAGTATCTGGTTTTTGCATCAGTTCCTTTCATACAAACAATTAGGGGACTCTTGAATGTTAAGCAGGGTGGTGACTGGGGCTTTCATGAGTTACTATGTAACTAATGTGAAATCCTTCAAATCATGCATTTCTTTTGCAGAGGATCAAATTCCCCGAGGTTTCCCCACCATTGATATGGGCCCACAGCTGAAGGTGGTTGAACGAACACGTACAGCTACCATGCTATGTGCAGCCAGTGGCAATCCTGATCCCGAAATAACTTGGTTCAAAGATTTCTTACCTGTTGACACAAGCAACAACAATGGCCGCATCAAGCAGTTACGCTCAGGTAAGGTCTTGTTACTGTTTCCACTAACGCCCAGAGTTGTTCTCTCTCACCTTTTCTTTCTTTTCTCTTCCTTTTTTTTAAATTTTTTATTTATAGGTAATAATTTCTCTTCCTCCTCTCTTTTCTGTGTTACTGAGTGTGTTGTCCATGTCTGTGATGTTGTCATAGCCTTTTCTAGAGTCTGTCTCTATGTGTTTTGCAGCTTCTGTTTACTCCACATTGCTCACTGCTGTGACTGTACTTTTTGATAATTTTTTTCTTTACTGCTTTTTGCAGTACTTGATGGATCCATTTTCTCCTCTTTCTTTCTTCTTTCCTTTTTATTTTTTTTTAACAAATTTATTTCAACATTGGACTTCATTCAGAAATTGCAAGGAGTACCAATGGTTATATTCATCAAAACCAAAACCTGCATTAGACACTTCAATTAAAATTTAAAATGTGTTTTGTGCTGTCTTTTCCACATTTGACTCCACCAAAGATTAGCCAGTTTGGACACATCTTCTTTCCTCTCACAAATACATAAAACACAATACTTTTTCCCATGCACAATTATACCTTAAAAAGAAAATTTAAAAAAAAAAAAGGAAAAGAAATCCTTGGGTAATCTATGGAATAAAGTTTTTTTGCTGGCTGAGCATTTTTCCAACACATTTAGCCACAGTAGTGTGCGCCCACGCTAAAGCTTTATCAATCCTACATTTTCTGGAACTACAGAAGTCTGCTTTTGGTGTAGAATCCAGCTTTTGCTGCTCTCTCTCTCTCTTTGCCCCTTGCACCTCCCTAGCAGTCCTTTCACTCTCCTCCTGCCCTAGTTTATTCTTTTGCTCTCTTTAGATTTAAAAAAAACCAAACACTCTAAATTTAAAAAGTTTAAAGCTTATCCCTAAATAAGATAATTGGGATATAATGAGCTTTTTTCTTTGGCAATTGTAGTAGATATCGTTGTAGAATCTAAGTTGTTTAATCACGTGTCTTCCCAGAATTCTCAGCTTTTGACCTGTCCTGTGATGTTAAATCGTCTTGTTAACTGACTTTTTGCTTGTTGTCAGCAGAACTGTGTAAATTAACCTTCTGTTAATGTAAATTAAGAATTAATTTTTCACATGTGACATAGATGATTTAGTATATAAAGCTTTAACTGAAAACTTTGTACCAAATTATAAGGAATATAATAATATTTTTATGCTGTCTTTCTTCTCTCCGTATTTAAATCTCCAGAATCTATTGGTAAGTGCTTAGTTCTGAAGCGCACTTCACCCCCACTAATTTCCATATCCAGAATATTATGATTATTATGATTATGATTATTATTATATTATTACTATTATTATTCTTAAAATGCATGGCATGCATTTTACTAACAGTCAGTGTAGTCACCAGATCCCTGTAGTGGCGCACACGCACACCTCCACAGAAATGTTGTCTTATCAGTCATAGCAACACCTAAACGAAACAGTACACATGTATCACGTAGCTGTAGACCAGTAAATGCAATAATCCAGCCTAAACTACAGTGTTGTTTTGAGATAGCCTTCAGTGTATCCTCTTTTTATATCTATATAGATTTATTTATATATTTTTAAATAGAATTTCCAATATTTTCCTAAACTATGTCATAAGTACAGTATTGTAAAGTTTCCTTTAAGTATTTGAGGCATATTCGATATATATCTAACCCTATATAACCAAACACCTAAGAACTCAGATGCTACTCTGAGAATGGCAATGCAGCCAATTGTAGCCTTTGCCCGTTGTGGTACAATGCAACTTGCTTTTATAACCTGATAATACTATCTAATATATTCCTGTTTTAACAGTATAGTAATTCAAGTTTCTCTTAAGACCTTATTTAATTTTGTAAATCTAATTTGATTCTTCTTCCAAAGCCCTAGCCTCCTTCTTCTCGTACTAATGCTTCTTCTTTCTAATCTTATTTGCATTCATATTATCCACCCAGGTGGTACACCAATAAGAGGTAAGAGTGCTGAACTAACGTTCACAGAATGATCTTACTCATTCTTTCTGTCTTTTCATTCCTCTCATCTTTGTCCTGTTTTTTTTTTTTTTCCCCGGAAAAAAAAAAAAAAACCAAACAAACAAACCACAGAAATGTCCATCATCTGATTTTTTTTTTACTTTGTCCTGTTTGGTTATGACCAGTGACTCTCATATTGTGACCTTTCTTTCTGCACACTCCCTTTGCTTTTCCCTTTTTTGTTTGTTCATTGAAAAAAAAAAAAAAAAGAAATGATAATTTGATTTGTGATATGCTTCAAAGAAAGCATATCCAGGTCTTCTGGCCATAGCCCAGTCACAGCGTACCATTTGTCCCTCTTTTTTCTTTTTCTTCTTCTTCTCCTTCTTTTTCTTCTTCTTCTTTTTCTTCTTTTTTTTCTTTTTTTTTTTTCCTTCCTCTTTTTTTTGTCCAACTGGAGCAAAAAAAGATCATTTTTTTTCTTCCTTAGCTGTTCTTGTCCTGGACCAAAGCCAAGATGGTCTGGAGAACAGTAGCAGACATGCAGAAGACAACATGGACTATCTTCTTTTTGTCTTATCTTTCATAAAAGGTTTTTATTTTTGTTCTTCTTCAATCCTTTTTTTTCTTTTAACTTCGTAAAGTTGAAAATGATGTGTCCCCCCCTAAAAAATTACAGAAATGTTTTTTTTTCCCTTTATTGTTTTTTTTTTTGTTTTCTTTTTCTTGGAGTTCTCTCACCTCTGGATTTTTGGATCTTCTAATCTACAGGCTTTGGAAATGAAAGGTTAATGACTTACTATTCTTGGTGGTATGTGGTATTGTTGGTTTTTGATACTCTGGCAAAACTGTTTACTTCTTTTGTAATTCTTGTTTTGTATTTTTCTTGGGTTTTGTGACACCACACTGCTAATCCCACTTGTGGATTTTGATGGGTGTCTTGGGGGGGGCCCTCCTATGGTCCTCAGCAGTGGTTGGTTGGTTCTTCCTTGTTGGCATAGACCATGCTTTTTAACTTTTTTGTCTTCTAATTCAACTGCTCTTTGTTTTTCAGCAAACGTACTTTAAGATTGTAAGTTGCGGAAAACTGTCTTTCTTTTCTTACCAATCTGCATGTCTTAAGGGAGTTTTGTTTCTTTAAAAGAATATTTTGATAATTATAAATGACTAATGCAGTTTCTTTTTTTTTCACTTCAAGCAGCCTTTTTGTTCTTGCTGCACATTTTTGGCTTTCTTCAGCAGAAGATTTCTTGAAGCCTGTCCTGCCTTTTTTATGAGTACCACCTTTTGTGCTACTTTTGTTACTAGATTGAAACAATGAAATAAAAATTAAAAAAATATAATGACCCAACTACTTAATCTCTTTTGTTTTATTCAAAAGCCATTCTTCCTTGAAGCAGTCTCACCCATCTTCATTTTAATGGTTTAGGAAAGAGTATTGTTTAGAGAGGGGGTTTTTTTGCCAAATGCAAATTGTTTTCCTGTGCTAGCACTGATGATGTGAAAAAAATAATCTCTTTGTTTTTTTCATTGCATCATTTTTTGTCTGTGCACCTTAGCAAGAAAATGAACCGACGTTGAGTGGACCTTCGCATACAAGCTTTTCATATTGTTAAGCGGTGTATTGTTATGGATATAAAAAGCCTTCTCTGACCGTCTCTTTGGCAATGTATTTTATATTCATACAGGTGCCCTCCAAATTGAACTGAGTGAAGAATCTGACCAAGGCAAATATGAGTGTGTTGCAACCAACAGTGCGGGTACACGCTATTCTGCCCCTGCCAATCTATATGTCAGAGGTAGGAATGACATGACCCTGGCATCCACACTTCATTCCGGTTCAGGGCTAAGATACTCTCAGGATCTATACAGTTACCACTGTAATAATCAAAATGCCATGGTAAATGTGTCAGTCGTAAAGTTCATTTAAAAGTGTAGAGGAAAGGCTTGGGGTTTGTTTTGTTCTTTTAAAGCACTCTTGAGTCCAGTCTATCCTGTGGGTTAAGGTTTGTAAGTATATTTATATTTTTACATCTTGACTTCTATTTTTCCTGCATTAAGTTAAATTGTGCTTTGCATTTATTTTCTTTTACTAGTTTTGTTTTGTTTTGCTTTTCTCTTCAAACTCCTGAGGTGACTGCTCGGTGTGCTACTAATCAGCTGAGTGTAACCCCAAGGCATTGAGGTGTATGCCTACCGGACCTCTGCTGCGTAACTGCAAAGGAAAAGCTTCTAGCGTTATAATAATATGTATGCAGAGCGCAACTGTATTTTCTTATTTTCTATTTCTTCTTTATATATATGTATGTATATATATATATATTTATATATCTTTAGTGTAAGACTTGTGAGTGAAGTGTAGTCCTTGCAATGATAGTGGTCAATTGGCTATATTTTTTTGAAGAAATTACCTGTCTATATGACAGGTATGATTAATAAGGAAACCATTATATTCCTCTGTACAGTAGTAGAAATGGTTAATTTTTTTTAACATACGAAAATATTCCTTTGGTTCAACTAGAAAGAAGTGCTTTGTTTCTGGCAGTATTTGCAACGGCTGATTGATGTAGCTTTCTGTACACCAAAGCCTATAACATACATACATACATATGTATATATATGTGTGTGTGTATGTGTCTACAGTATAAGGGGATGGGTGGGGGAAATAGGACTGAAAACATAAACAGCTGTAAACTTTACTGTAGGGTGGATGACCTTACCAAAAATACCTAGCTTGATTTTGAAATTTTTTTTAGAGCTGATTTTTCAGTCGACCTGATATGTTTTCGTATGGTGTGACTCTTTTGGCTAATTAAAAAAAAAAAACCAAACAGAAAGGGAAACATTTCATAGTTATGACATCCATAGAAAGTTATTTGATCTTTTTTTTCTTTCTCTTCTCCTCCAACATACTGACTTTCCTGTACTGCATGAGGCATGTATACCTTTTTATCCAAAGGAAAATTTCAAAATTATGCTAGCTATTGTTTCTAACACCGTTGTAGCTGTGGAAAATGCTAACTTTTCAAGATGAGGTAGGAAGGTTTAATTAGAGCAAGTAGAGATGTTCAAGTAGCAGTTGAAAGCCTTGATATGGCCTTTTTACTCTCTCTGTGTTTCCCTTGTTTTTCTCCTTTCCTCATTTCATTGTGTTCTGCATCAAACCCCCTACATCCCTCAGAGCTGCGAGAAGGTTGGTGTGTTTTTTACTTTTTACCCACCTTACAAAACTATTAATTAAACCAATAACAAAGAATACAAATGAAATGAATGTAGCTGCATTGTGGCATTTTTTAAGTTAATGTTATGTTTAAGCAGAGAATGCCCTGGTCATGGCTTTTGATGAGTGCTGGTACCTAACTGTTGTGCATGATAAGAGAGAATGAACCTGGATGCATGGCAATCTTTTTAGCTTTAACACTAATGTCTAGTAAACTTGGTCAGTGTTCCTGCTTTTTCTTCCCTTTTAATTTCTTGTTTATACTGATGCCTGCTTTTCAAGGAATGGTTTCAGCAGTTGCTTTTCTAAACAGCCTGCGCATGAAGACTAAACTCTCCTTTGTCTATAAGGATTGTGTTCAATACAAGAAGTTCCTCATTGCCTGATGCTTGCTTTGTGTGGCCTCTGTGAAATGGCCGCTTACAGATGTTTTGCTCTCTGCTTGTTCCCCTTCTGCCTGTCATTCACTCATGAGGCCATAGCAGTAAGCCCCTTCTGAATCCATAGATCACAGAAATTTAATCAAACCCAGTGGAAAGGTTTCAGACTAATACAGTTTTCTTTTTTTTTTTTTTAAACTCACTCATAGTCTTTGATTTTACTTTTTATTTTTGCTGAATTAAAACTGTCTTAATGATTAGCCTCTATTAAACCCAAATAAATACAGTTTCAAGTACACTGTCCAATGAAAAGCCTAAATACAAACCTACCTCTCTCAGCTACCTCTCTCTCTTCCCCCTCCCCCACACATGTGCACACCACTGAGAATATTTGAAGCAGGAACACTGATCTGTTATTGCCTGGTAATTTTCTCGGTGTTGTGTTTGCTTAAATATTAACTACTGTTAGTGCAGTGTCCTGCTATGTGTTTAAGGTTGCCACCCCTTGCTATCAATACAGAAATGTCTAATATTATCGATCCTTATAGCTTATTTTGCTTTCCCTTAACTGTGAGCATAGTGGAATCCTGAATGTTAAATGTTCTGCTCTTTTCCCAGTGGCCCTTCCTAACAGTTGCTTTTTAACCACCTAAACTTAATCTAACTTCCTTCTCCCTCAAACTCTATGCTCCTCTTAAACTCCTGTATCTGTCAGCCTATCCTATCCCCATCTCTTTCAAGTTTTCTTTCCTCACCCAATATGTTTTCTTTTTGAGTTCTTTTTCTTTCTGCAGTTTTTACTCAGACATTTCCCTAAGCATGATTCTTTATTGATTCTGTCATATGCTTGCCTGCATGACCAAATCCAGTACTTTGTACTGGCTTTGCCTAGTTTCTTTCTGTGACTATATATATGTATATATTTATATATATGTATATGCGTATATACATGTGTATATATATATATTTGTACCTGTGTGTAATTTTTTTTTTATCTATGTTTGTTTCAGTGTTAGTGTGAGGTCTTGAGGCTGCATCTACTTTGAGTCTGAAAGCAAGTGAAATTGCACTTTCAATGTACTGTAGGCAATGTGTTCCATGACTGTGATGTGACAATGTGGCCTAGCACATTTATTCACATCAACTGGAAGCACACAGCATTGAAGTTGGTTTTGGTAATCAACTCAAGCATGCTGTTGACCTTGGAGTTTTCTTCTGTGCACATATATATATGTATGGGCATATAAAATGCATATATATTTGTGCGCGCGTGTGTGTGTGCGCGCGCGCACGTGTGCGTGTGTATATCTTTTGCATGGTGTTTGTGTATTGTTAGTATGTAGTCAGTTAACTGTGGGGCCCTAATAGGTCTGAATCAGCCTTTGTATGAATGTGCCTAATAATATCCTCAAGTAAATATAGAATAATTCACATTGTGTGCAGACAATATTCTTGTTTAGTCTCGTATTTCTTTTAAACCTATTTTTTGGCAGATCGGAATAATATGTTAAAACTTTAAATTGTGTCTGTACACTGCATGTAGTCCGTATGCAAGACTCAGTTTCTTTTTTTGTATATGTTATTACCTTTTTCTGTGTTTTGTTCCAGTTCGACGGGTCCCACCGAGGTTCTCTATCCCCCCGACCAATCATGAGATCATGCCTGGTGGGAGTGTAAATATCACGTGTGTTGCGGTGGGGTCACCAATGCCATATGTGAAATGGATGCTAGGAGCAGAAGATTTGACACCTGAGGATGATATGCCAATAGGGAGGAACGTCCTTGAGCTTAATGATGTCAGGCAGTCTGCAAACTATACTTGTGTTGCTATGTCTACCCTTGGTGTTATAGAAGCAATAGCGCAGATAACTGTCAAAGGTATATCCCAAGCACATATATTTGGACATAGTTCCATCTTTTCTTTCATTCATTGCCATAGTCTGGGCAAATATATTGCACTGAAAGAGACTAAATGTCTCTTACCCTCTTAAATCAAGAGGGTAAATATTCCAGCCAACCACTGGCATAAGACAAAATACAGATTCAGATAGCAATAATACTAATAAATAGGTTAATCATAATGTTCATTATTCTCCTGTGTCTAGCTCCCAGCCTTCATTTCAAGTAAATAAAGGATCTTGTAATCTTGCATATACTTGTCAAGAGCAGGAGCCTTTAAGAACCAGTCATTTGATTTTTAGAATTGCTGGGTGTCCAAGTATCGTGTTCACTGAGTAGCTGGAAACTAGAGGTTCCAAAAATATCTGAAAATTGAACAGTAATGGTGCACTGTCTGTCTATAAGATTCCTCTTCTGCATAAGTTTACGGGATCTATTACAAAAGTCAGTATCATTAATTTATATCAAATAAACCTTACCTACAAAATGTGAAGATTTTCTGATAGGTTTATGGAGTAAATCATAATTGCCAAAAGCTTGCTCTGAACAAATCACACCTTCTTTCCATTCCAATCTTCCTGTTTTGTTTTTGTTGTTGTTGTTCTGTTTTGTTTTTTAAGCTGCTTATTGTAGTAATTAATGTCTACTGTTACATAGCGCTAACTGTATTTTTTGGCATTTATCTTTAGCCTTACCCAAACCTCCTGGAACACCTGTGGTGACAGAAAGCACAGCGACAAGCATAACATTGACTTGGGATTCTGGAAACCCTGAGCCGGTTTCTTACTACATAATCCAACACAAACCCAAAAACTCGGAGGAGCCATATAAAGAAATTGATGGGGTGGCCACAACACGCTATAGCGTGGCTGGCCTAAGCCCATATTCAGAGTATGAATTTCGGGTAGTTGCTGTAAATAACATTGGGCGAGGACCACCCAGTGAGCCTGTGTCAACAAGGACTTCAGAGCAAGCACCTTCAAGTGCACCACGCAATGTGCAGGCCCGTATGTTGAGCTCTACCACCATTTTGGTACAGTGGGAAGAACCTGAGGAACCTAATGGACAAATACAAGGTTACAGAGTTTATTACACCATGGACCCCACTCAACATGTCAACAGTTGGATGAAGCACAATGTGGCTGACAGCCACATTACCACTATTGGGAATCTGATACCCCAGAAAACATACTCTGTGAAGGTTCTTGCTTTTACTTCTGTTGGGGATGGACCACTTTCTAGTGACATTCAAGTCATCACTCAAACAGGAGGTAAGCTAGCAATGAACAGAATTTGTGCAAAAAAATTAAATACATGCAGAAATTTTGCAGAGAGAGAATTTGAGTTTAAAATGTTGAAAAAAAATTCCTCTCGAGGATATCCAGTTTATTCAGTCAGTTTTTGCAGATAACCTTTTCTCAATTCCACAGTGCAAGTTATCATTGAAGAGTGGAAATTACCCACTCGCACTTTCACTTCTTTTTTCATCAATCTCAGGAAGTTTAACTCAAGTTTAGCTGAAGTCTCAGGGAGACCTTCATCCTGGAGGTGGCCAAATGTTATGGCTTCTATTTGGCAGTTGTCTGTGCACCAAAAGTGTTTGTCAAGTAGTTCTTCACAGCTTTCTTTGAGGAGTTACCTGTGTTGGTGGGTTTTGTTTATGTAGCGTGTGGTTCCCTTATGCTACATCAGTCTAGTGAATCTTGCTTTTGGAAATTCAAAATGTATGTGTACTGTATGTGTATTCACATAGTTGGTACGGTTCTGAAAACACATAAAACATGAAAGCATTAAAAAAACAACAAACCTTTGTGTAGGTTCAAGCAAGCAGTTCTGTACACTTCAGATTTATAAATCAAACCCAACCTGCCCCTACAAAGTGCATACCACAAGGTCACGGTTTTCTTGTTTTATGTTTGCAGTTAGGTTGTTTTGTTTCTGTACAGGAGTTTTAGGTCCATGAATTAGTTTTATTAGCAAACGACAAGCAAGCATAGTGAAAAACATTACAGAGAATTTTTATGAAATCAAAAGCAAGAAACTCTGGTGGAGCTACACTGCAGAAAGTGTTTTATTGTAGCAATAAGAAATAAAAGCTCCCTTTGTGTAGCGGTTTAGAGAAAGCTGTATGAAGTATTACTGTAGGTCAGTGATTGCCTAGAAATATTATATATTACAACTTGAATTTTTTAGTACAGGAAAGTTTCCTGTTGAAGAATTCAGCATCCCTCAAATTCTTAAAAAACATATCTCTAAAGTGTAACTGAAGGCAGTTACATTTCATCTACTTTTTACTTCCGCGTTTTATCAATATGCATTTAATAATGAACAGAAATTGAGGTATTGTCCTGGAACCTTTCTACGTGTTGTGTTACACAAAGGCCTAGGTGTTACCTTTTGCAGTATCTCAGCTGAGAAGTTACTAAATTAACTTTTTTAGACCTTCTATTGGTACATTAAAATGTGTCTTTGTGCACATGCAAATGTAAATATGTACACCATAGTTTAATTTTGGCAATTGTAACCTTTTTCAGGGACTAGTTTATATATTGACATCTGACTTCTTTTTGAACCCATGTACAAAAAGCTTTTAAAGAAGAAGGTTCAGTGAGTTCCTCATCTGTGTTTTCACTTACAACCGTAAACCTTTTAGATTGGCAAGAGTTTGTCAGTGGCTTCCCCAGAGAAGGATGAAGCAGTCGAAATAATGAGCACTGAGGCTCAGCTGGACAGGCCCAAGTTACATTACTTGCTGAGGTCACTTCAAAAAAGCTCTGTTTATTAAAAACTTTATTGAACTTGCCATTAAACGTTCCCGTCTGTTTCGGATTACTGTTACAATCTGAAGAAATTATGACAATGTTAACAGTGCAGGAGGGATTCTCAATACATGTTTTCAGCTTCATAACAGAGTTGACTTGACGTTGTTTATTTGTGACTATGTTAAAAATCAAAGGAAAACCAAAAATGTGGCATACAGGAGGCATTTTTAAGCACTGATACTTGTGCTTGAAATATGAATATTTTAAGTCATAAAAGACAAAAATAGCTAAGACAGTCTAGTGCAGTTCTCCAGTTCAGGGTATGTTTAAAAACTAAGATTCTTCCATCTTACTATCCAGCAGTTTCTCTTCAATGAACACTGCAGAATAAAATGCTCTCCTTGCCCTTCTCTTCCAGATTTGCTGTAATCTAAATCTGAATGTGATGGTTTTGGTTTAAGTCTCTGTCAAGCTGAAACTCATCCAAATAAATATAGTGAATTATAAAGTGCCATTTCAAAACAGTGGAAATTGATTTAAAGGAAACATATGTAAAAGAGTAAAAATAGGAATGGTAGATTAGTAAAAAAAAACAAAATATGTTTTGATTGGGGTTTTTTTTTCCTTTTTTGAAACAATCAAGCCTGTCATTGTAAGTATGTAGCTTAACCCTTATGCTTACTTTGGGGCTATTAGAGTATATATACAACAAAATCTGATTGACAGCTGTGACTTACAGACTCTGTTAGCTTGGTTTCCTTCAAAGCTTTCTCCCTTATGTGTATTCTGATCTTTGGAGAGATATTATAAAAAATGAATAATTTGTTTTAAAAAAGCCTGTTTATGAGAATCTTTACTTTTTTAGTACAGCAGAATTGTTCTTTTGAAATAGCTGTATGAGTGGCTTCTCACTTTGCAGGTCAGCCGAAACTCTGCTGATAGTGAAAATTAGGTTTCTAATTAAATTATTAGCTAGGAACATGTAGTTTAAGGGGAAGAGAAGGAAGCATTTTTCAGACAACCAAACATAAAAAAAAAAAATTGAAGTTTTATGTTCAGTTTTTTGTTTCAGTATTCTGCTTAAGCATTTTAAGGAAAAGCCATGTCCTATTGCCCAGTTGTTTTCAGTAGTGTTTTCTTTACTGTAAAAAGACACCATTTTAAGAAATGAAGTAATCAGAAAACAGATAAGCCTTTTGAATAAGGAAAGATCAATTCCAAAAGCTACACCTAAGAAAGTCCTTATTCTGCATTTTGGGTCAAAGGATTTGATTCTGCTGAGGATGGAGTCAGGACCAGTATATTATTTAGGTGACTTAGTAACACCAAATTTTAGAATAAAGAAGTAACAGTATAAGCTTTAGTGTGATACTTCTTGTCCTTTTTCTTTACTTCACTAGAAAACAAAAGCTCTGTTGGTTTGTCTCCATTTAGTTACCCAGGACATACTTGTTACGTATCTTCTCATATTTCCTTTCTTTGCTTAAACTCTTCAGAAGTACACATACTCTCTGAGCAACACACTTTAACCCGTGTATACCAGGAAAATTCTTGAACTTCAAACTGAATGTCTGGGTTTGGGGTTGAGTTTGGTTTGGTTTGGTTTGGTTTAGTTTTTAATCTGCAAAGAGACTATTAGCTACTGAAGGAATTCAGAGAATCCTGTTTTTATTCTGAGCTTAGGTAGGAAGAGGGGAGAGTGAGAGATACGCAAGGTCTATTGGGTAGTGGATTATTGGAGAAAGAGAGAGAGAAAATACTCTTGGAAATGGATGTGTACCAGTAAACATATGCTTCTTTAAACAAGAACTTACAATATAAAATTTATTGTTAATTTTAAACCAAGGACTGGCAGTGGTTTGAAGACTAAGGATTATTACTGTTACAAAAGGCTAATCTTTTGAACATATGGAAAAGGACAGTAATGAGAAGGTCAAGTATCTGACTTGCAGGGCACATAAACAGAGCCTTAGCTTAAGGGAAATGAGTTAATGGTTCTGGAGTTCTTATTGTAAAAGAAGATTAGAGATTCAGAGGAAGGGAGTCTGTAGCAAGGGAATACAGTTCTGTGTTGTAGCAAGCTAGCTACTTTGCCAGACATTTCAAATTTTTTCATGAACACATGAACAGGGAAACCCATGTCTCTGAAACTCCACAGTACTAGTCTCCTAGTGAAGCATTTCATGGAAATGGACTTCCGCAAGGGAAGGGTTGAGAGCATGCAGCTGAAAACTCAACCGTGATTGAAGGAAGCAGGTGGAAGGAGAATAATTTGGAGCTGAGGTGGGGTGCAGGATGCCTTTTAAATGACAAAATTCCCTTTAAGGAACGTTTCTGTTCAGGTAGGAAAGAATACTTTGAATAACCCCTCTGCTTTCAAAGCATAGTTAACTTCTGTCAAGTGCCCCAGTCTCTATGTTTACTTCATTTAAATGCTAACATGATGAGACCAATATTGAGGATCTTACCCTCACAGAGTGATTTTTCTAGCTTTTAATCTCCCTTTCTTTCTTCTAGTTAGAACACAGACAGGGTATGGATATGGGATTTTTTTTTTTTTTTAATCTGATTTTTTTCTAGTCCAGAATTCTGATTTTTGCAAATATGTGGATAAGCGCTGGAAATGTGCACATACTACTTTTGTCACTGAACCTAAGTATTGCAGAATGCAGCTTGAAATAATTTTAAGACAACTCTACTGCTACACTGTAGATATAGAGTGTAGACAGAATTACTCTGAAGAATAATTCATCTCTTCACTGTGTTTTCTAGTCATTCAGACAAGACTATACAGACTCTGTCTTTAAGACTGACCAACATGTTTATTTTATTCTGTGGGGTCCCTCAATGCCAGTTACACATACTATTTTAGGAAAGTGATTTATGGATTTCTGGTTATTTTTCAGAAAATGTGCTATGCTTTTTGGACATTTAAAAAGTATTGTAGTTAATTATTTTGAATACTGTGGTTCTGTGTTTGATACTGCAGAACTGCAAGCCTCAGCTGTCTTCAGACTCATTTGAAGAGGTTTTTTCTGTTGTAGCAGAAAGACAGAGAGAGAGCAGGATGCGCATATAGTTAGTACACTACCCGTTTTATTTTGTAATTATGTTCTTTGAGAATTAGGTATTTCAAAAAGTACAAGTACTGTTTTACAAAACAAAAACTCTGGAGCACATTAACTCTTAAACTGTAAGAGCTTCTCTGTAGAGTTTCATGCTTCTTCCAGAGCAAGCAGAAACATGAACTCTTGGTCCCTTTCTGTTCCCAACTGGTTGTAAATTCTCTTGATCGATCTATTGTCCTTTGCAAAACTGATTCCTAATTGAATTGATTGAGTTTTGTTCTATGTATGGATTTCACCCTAGCAATGTCATGGGCCCCTTTCTAGCCTGGAGACTGTCTTGTCTTTCCAGCATCACTTGCAAACCCAGCACAGCCCTGGAGTATATTTCTGGTTACCTCAGCCAGCTGAGGAGCTGTGTGCCCTTCTGATTTGAGATCCCATTTTATGATTCTGTTTTGTCACTCAATTCAGGAATGGACATAGAACCATACACACAGGACAAGGTCCAGCAATCTGTGTTTGTTTCTGGTTATCCAGCAATAAACATGGAGGACTAGGCAAACAAAGGCGTAGAACTTGGTATGAAGTTTTGAAAAGAGTAATTCTGGACTTTGTTCTTTCTTTTGTCACTGCTTTGTAGTGTTTAATTGTGTGTACTACCTAAGTTGTGGCATGTTTACAAGCAAGAAATAAGAAGAGTTATACTCGGTGCATGGGGAAGTTCTGGGTTTTAATGTACGTGTGTAGAGCACATTGACCTCAAAGCAGAAAAGACAGAAAAGACAATACTGGGACAATGCTCATGCAGAAAGATCCCATTCAGTCAGCTGACCATGTACAGCACTAATATCGAAAGTTAGATTTGATCTGTGTAATTAAAACACTTCAGCAAGACTGTAAAGTCCACTTACAGAGATTTTTCCAGTTTCCCTAGGTTTTTCCATCTCTGAAGGAGACCAGTACCTTCTGTCAGTTCCTCCAGCTTGGCTTAGTTCCCATGTGCCACTGAAGGTTTTTTTGAACAGATGTTGTGTGTTCTAGGCATAAATCCTAAATAGTTTAAAAGTTATTGTTCCACTTTCTTATCTGATCCTTTTTCTTTGGCTTAAGCCTTGGGTTCCCTGCCAGAGTTATCAGCAATACAGTTTCTTTAGTTTCTGTTATTTTGGTTTTGTTTTCTTTCTTCTCCATCTTCTCTATCTGTTTGGAGCGATGCAGATTTCCCTGTCACCTCTTTCTTCTGTCAGTGTTTTCAGCTTCAGGGTTGCCTAACTGCGGTTGAAAAATGTGAGGGGAGACTAGATTTTGCAGCAAGATATTATTTTGACAAACAGCATTTGGGAAAGTCCAATTAACCATCAACTTGTCTTATAAAATGATAGAGAATTGCAGACCTAAATCCATAAAGGGTTTTTTTTGAAAGGAATACTTGGAGGATGAGGGTCTTAAAACGTGCAGAGAGACAGGAAATACCCTTCGTTCGCCATCTGCTGCCATATTTATCATAGCGGATGGTACCAGCCTTTATATGGGTCACTTGACTGGTCATTTACTGTTACTGCCTGACTGTGTTCTACAGTTCATGTATCCATACGTTAAGCACAGATAATAGCATCATAGGGCGACTGAGGCTGGCAGGGTGATCTTCTGGGGAGGTCTCCAGCCCCAGCCCCTGCCCACAGCAAGCTCAGTTGTGGGGTCAGACCAGGCTGCTCAGGGCTTCACCCGATTGAGGCATAAAACCCCTCAAGGCAGGATATGGCCCAACCTTCGTGGGCCCTGGCTCCAACGCTGATCTGTCCTCGTGGGGAAAAGTCTTCTCCTTATCTCCAACCTGAGCCTCTCGTGTCAGCTTGTGCTGCTGCCTCGCACCCTCCTGCCACACACAGCTGTGAAGAGCCCGGCTGTGTCTCCTCCATCCTTCCCATCAGTGCTGGGGATGCTGTTGGGTGCCCCTGTAGCTGTCCCTTCTCCCAGCTGAACCAGCCCCTGTCCTGCAGCGTCTCTTCGCAGGGCAAGGGCCCCAGCCCAGAGCCATCTTGCTGAGGCCCAAAACCAGATGCAGTACCCAGATTTGGTCTGATGGGCACTGAGCAGAGGGGCCCGTCCCTGTCCTCCCCTGGCTCTTGGGGTCATCTCCTGCTCACACCACCCCAGGCACCAATGGCCCTTGTTGCTACCTAGGCACATGGGTGGCCCCGGCTCAGCTGCTGCCTGCCAGGGCACAGGGCCATCCCCCACAGCTGTTCCCTGGCCCTGTCAGCCCCAGCCTGCATCCCTGCGGGGCTCTGCCTTCCCAGAACAGGGCTTGCCGAACTTCATGGGGAACCATCGGCCTGTTCCTCCCCCCTCTGCAGCTCCCTCTTAACAGCAAACTGGTCCTCGAGTCCGTTGACTGGTCCTCCCCGGCTTGATGTTGTCTGCAAACCTGGAACGTCTGCCCTCCATCCCCTCCTCCAGGTCACTGATAGAGATGTCAAACACAAGATGGATAGCATGGCACAGGTAACATAAGCTGCTGTTTGATCTTCCATGACCAGGCAAAGGTGATTTTGTAACTCCAACCGTGCTGCTCAGTTACTTTGCCGAAATAACTTTATCCCTGTCCTTTGATACACATTGAAGCAAATAATTTTTTCCACAGGTCAGTTTTACCAGTTTTTATCTTTTTGTCAGATGAAGCAAACAAAATACCTACAGCCAGGTACCCACCTGAGTTTCATGAGATATATTTGGAACAACCTGTACCAAAATAAACACTTCCAAATAGCTGCCTAGACTCCAGATTTTTTTATTAAGTTTTGGCAAACCTGCAGTGGGGCTCCACATCTACTTTAAGCCGTGTTCAACAGGAGGCAAATCTGCAGCTGTTGTCTGGTCATTACTCAGGAGTGTTTTGAAGCAGCTAACCTAAAAAGTTGTAATGTTCATCTAGTAAATGCATTTATACAACTATGCTATAGATTTGCCAAGTTAAACTTTGATCTAGTGGTATTTCAGAATCTGTTTCAAAATTAGGAATTATCCAGTTATGCCACTCTCTGCCTTTTAATTTCAAATCCATTCAATTTTAAAAGGATAAAATTAGAAGTATTTCTGTCAAAAATACTTTGTTGATATTTCCTGTAATTGCTCGCTGTACTTTGTGATCTTTTCCCTTTTGCAGTACCCAGGAAGTGGTCTCTTTTTACACCAGACACTTTTAGAAAAATAGCTAATTACTCCGATCCTTTTTTCTTCCTGTAAAGAGACTTGGTCTCCTGTTCACTCTCACTCATTCCCTCAGAAATAGGCAACATCTTTCTACACCTTTCCTTTTCTATTTTGTCCTATTCCTGGACAAAAAATAAGTGAATGGTAGGAACTTGCAACCTCCACACAGGAGCTTGAATATGCACCTCATGTTGACAGATTATCTGTCTGTTGAAAGGTTAGATATCAAACCTGCACCAGCATACATGAGGGCAGTGTTATCCCCAGAGTGACATTCTGTAGAATCTGGGGAAGATAAGAATTACCATCACAAATTATTTTTACTCTTTGGTCCATGGTGTTTTTAAGTCTTTTACTGTACAAAAGAAAGGTACTTGTAATGCTGTAATAAAATTCTACGCCAAGAAATAATTGTGAAGCGATCATTATTGTCACATCTTACTTGTCACACCTGTTCTCAGTGTATGTTAAGAAGTGCATCTCATATTTTTTTCTTAAAAAATAAGAGCATGTCACACTTTATTCTTGAAAAGCTAGAAATGCTGTGGAAGACTGTTTCATGCCTTATCAACAGCACTATTAGCTGAAAGTAATGTTTTAGAACTTGGGTGCCGAAATGATTGTATACATTCCAATGACAGGGTTACATTTTGCTGTCTTTTCCTAGTCAGCCTTATTATTTGCTGTAGATTTGCAGAAGTAAATGAAGGTAACATTTAGTCCAGATAATTTCTGTGACCGTTACACAAGACATAACAACAGAGAATGTTCTTGACTACTAGAATTACAGTTGCATTTTTAGTTCTTGCAATTAGATAGTGTTGTTACTAGAAATTCAGCTATATTGGTAAAAATACCAGTCATTAAAAGAGTAGAAATACGTCACTTAATGAGAACGTTACTGAAGATCTCTTCAGTATGTTATAACTTCCACAGGTTATGAAAGCATTCAATATTATGTGTCTTCTTAAAGAGCAGGATGTGTTCAGTATCTTATTTATGAACTGAGCAAACCATTTTCAGATTTGGAAATGCATGTAATCGTTTTAACACTTTCTTGACTATTCCAGCCAATCTTATGTAGTACTAGCATTTCCCCATATACACACATATATACATGTATATATTTGCCATTTCACACATAGGTTATTAGATTGCTGGTATTCATCACCAGGATTCTGTTCAATTGCATTTCAGTTCTGTGTGCATTATTTACACTGCAAAGCATTTGTTTGAAATCCTTGATAATTTGTAATGTGTGAATTAAATATATCATTATTCTTTTTCTGAGCTCAGATTAATTTATTTCATAGTACAGTTAATCAATTTGTTTAAGTTCAGTAAGTTCAATAAAAGTAATATTGTGTGAAATATTCAGATAATAGTTTAAAAGGTTTGAAAGATAAGTGTTGAGCTAGCCAAATAAACAATTGGCAACACTGCTCAACTTTTTCTTTAGTGCCTGGTCAGCCACTGAACTTCAAAGCAGAACCTGAGTCTGAAACAAGCATATTACTTTCTTGGACACCTCCACGCTCTGATACCATTTCCAGCTATGAACTGGTTTACAAAGATGGGGAGCACGGGGAGGAGGTAAGTGAAAAGACTATACATCTTTTAAGTACTCTTTAATGAGTCAGACATAAAATGCTGCAATGGTTTAGAATTGATGGATTAGTAACTTTCTTTAGTACAAATGCCTTGATGTTTAACAGTTTGTTAAACCCAGCAGTCAGCCTAAGGAGAGACTGAGAGTGTGTAAACTGCAGAACATGCTGTCGATGGTTACCAGCCAGTGGAACTTTGCTGTTGTTCGCAACAAATCATCTGCAGAAGTCGCATTCAGTTTCAAACATTGATCATGTCTCTCCAAGCTTGTTCCTTTACAATGTCTTGCAAGCAGAAGTGTTTTGGGGCGTTATGGACTCATTAAGATTTTTTGCACTTATACTTGCACTTTGAAGCCTATTTTCAGTCTTGGAGAATTTTTGTTTCTCTTTGCCACCATGTGAGAGAGTTCTCAAGCTTCTCTAATCTTTCAATAATATTTGAGAAGAAAATACGGGTTTTTTTCTAAAGATAAAAACCTGCTATGGACTTTTTCTGTGCCATTATTTCCTAAGGAATTTTCAGTTTAAGGGCCTCTGTGGTGTTAGTACTGTAGACTTTAGAATAAACTGTTCTTCTGATATGGAAACCATGTGATATTGCCAGGTGTCCCAGACAAAAGAAAGAAGCCAGCAGTCTCAGAAGGCAGCAGGAGAGTGTCAGCCTCATTGATTTCTCCTGCATCATCAACTCATTGCTGGCGCTTCAGCTGAGCTTATGTTTATGGCGGCTTCACACATATACTGTGAATGCATAAGCTTATTTTGTGGAAGGGAAACAGATCCATATTTCACCTCCAAATAGGATGCAGGCCCCTGCTTAATAAGTTACCCTTTGGAAGAATTTGCTTCTTAATAATTTGAACACAAATTTAACTACAAGGTTAAACCCAAGATTACTCACATTATAAAACCCTGTAGTTCACTGTCGTAAGAGGTAACTATAGGTAAGGCTTTGTTCATGTGTTATTGTCTGAAAAGCCTTTTATACTTTGTACACAGCTATTACTTCCTCAAACAGTCAAACAATATTTCTGGCTCCGAGTTTCACCCATTAAGCTGTCGACTTTAAAAAATATTTTTCCTTAATGTGTGTTTGTCAAAAGGAATGTATTCATTTTTGTTTTGGTTTAGTTTGGTTTTGTTCTGATTTATTTTCTTGAATTTAAATTTTTCTCAATGGGGTATCAGAGTATAAAAGCATTCTTCTATAGGAAACATACGGAATTCAGAGTCTCTGAATATTAATCAAGACATCCTCTTATTACCTACCTTTAGCAACGGGTTTCCACTGAACCTACTACATCTTATCGCCTGCAAGGCTTAAGGCCAAACAGCTTGTACTTATTTCGTCTAGCTGCACGTTCTCCGCAAGGCCTGGGTGCTTCAACAGCAGAAATCTCAGCAAGAACCATGCAGTCAAGTAGGTGTCTTTCCTTGCTAACTTTATTCCCTTTTCTTGTATTTCTTGAAGAGATTAATCTCAGTAGCCCAGAGATGCAGCAACAGAGAAAAAAGCAAAATGATAAAAATACAGCATTCGTGGTGCTTAAAGAATGCTTAAAATACGTTTTTTTGTAGGTGTATTGTGATCAACTTAATATATGAGTGGCTCTTACATAGTTTCAGAAAACAACCATGTAAACCAGTGTATAAAGAGGCAATATTATGCTGTCATAATAACATTTTATTTTATGTTATAATAGGATAAAATGTTTTATCATGCAATAGATGTACATTAATAACAGTCCTCCACCTGTAAAATTCCACTGGCCCAGTCTGCAAATTTCCTGTAATACTGGGTTGTTCCTGCAGCATCTTCCTGAAGTACAAAAAAATTGTAGAGTGAGTCAGGCTGGATATTTCAGACTGTACCAAAAATTTCCTCATAACTGTTCTTCTATAGTAGCTGATCATTCTGATTTTGTTACATTTTTTTTAATCTAGGCTTTTTATGATGTTCAGTGATTTTTTACACCAGTAGAAAAATTGTTTCTCACTGGATGCTTATGGAAACAAAGTCATGAAACTCATCACATTTGTCTGCAAATGAGATGCAAAAATTTGTCAGGTATTTATATATACATTTTTAAATATTTAAATTAAGACTTAATTAAACAATCAAATATTCAAGGATGATGTCCAGAAGTGCTACTCTTGCCTGATAAGTTATGCTTTCCTGACAGTTTGCATTACACTGTGTAATTTTAAAATTTAGTGCAATTCTGCTTGTATTTGTTTTAAATTAAATGGCCTTTTCTTAAAGTAATATTATTCAAAACAGAATATTCATATTCACAATTGACATGAGGCTTTTTAATTTGCAGTCATGACAGATGTGATTACACCATCATTCTTTGTTAGTGTTATATATTAATAGAAATTAGTGTGACTGGAGTTACAGTGCTGCAGACCTTTAACCAAAGCTAAATGTGCTTCTGAAGTATTTCTAAGACATTTGGAATAAGCATAAAAGACGATTATATAACACAGGGCTAGTTTTAGAGATAGTGGCAAGGCACCTTTTAATTTTAGTAATCCAGAATCAATAATTTGGTGAAGAAAAAGGTATTTCTTTATTCTGGGAGCCATTTCAGCTATTTAGAATGTTCATTCTCTTATATTGGGTGAAGATTGCTTATACTGTGCATGCAAAATAAACCTCTAGGGGCCAAGGTTGCATGTTCCATATATAAGCACATTGCCATTCTTCCCTTCTTGAATATAAGAATGTGTTACGGTTTTTTTAGCCTTATGTCTTCAGATAGTAGGAAAATCCAGTTGATTTCAGTGGGCAGACCCTGGTTATTTGCTGAAAAGATTGCAAAATCTTTTTTGCAAAAATGGTGTGTTTTAAGAAAAAAGTATATGCATTAATAAAACTGGTTACACAAGTAGCCTATAGATTATCCTTAGTTACATAAATATAATATTTTGCATTTTCAGAGTATAATGGATTAAAAATTAATAAACTTCTATGAGTTTATTAGCAATATTCACCAGAATACACTATTGCCTTTCGTCTTGGTTTCAGAGAAAGGTGCTATAGGGATTTATTTCTTTACATGTAAGATCCTTAAGGGACATTTTACTTGTATTTTACTTCCTGCACAAGTCGATGGTAGAAGGGGACCAACATGTTTTGAGTACTTGATTACTGAATTAGCCTAAAAAAAAACCAAAAACAAATGTGATAATTCTCATCTGTCCCCCTTTCCACCTCCTCTAGTTAGTTGAAATGCTGGTATATTCCCTCCTGTTTACCCTTCAGAAGAGCAGTGTACCATACTGAGTAAAAAGCCATTGATCCCTGTAGAAGAGCTGTAGGGAACCAAAAGATACATGTGTAAATGCAGTAGGTCACAGCAGGGTCCTAGTCCTTCTCTGTTGCTTTAATTTTGTTTGATGTACCTAGTATAAGTACGAGAAATCCATTTGTTTCCTTTTTCCCTTAAGAAATGGGAAGAAAATAGTAGACAAAAAAAAAAAAAGGCAGTGCCATAAAAATCTTGCACCCAAAATTTATGTTTTCCTTGCAAGAGAGAAGGCAGAAATAGGAAAGAGTCCACGTCCACTACTTCTGCCAGTGAATTTGAACTGTGGCTCCTTTTTTGATGCTCTGAATGATCTCAGTTAGTAAGCACACACTTTGCTAAGTCAAAGTGCATTTAAGCACATAAATTCATACCTAACTTTCAGTACTTGAATTGCCTCACTGAAAGCAATGGAATGACATACATGCTTAAATGCTCTGGAGCCCGGAAAAGGTACATATGCTAACAGACTCCTTCGAGTACAAATCAGTAAGGGTGAGCAGTTTTGCTCTGGAAGATTGGTGTTGGTGACAAGAGACGAAACAGTCAGAGTCTCTCACCGTTCTGATGTGCTGAGCCTGTGAACTCTCTTTGTAAAATGAATACCTGCTTTCTTGACACATTGTTTGGGGGCAGATTTTTTTTTTCCTATAGAAGTTACCTACATTACGGGTAGGATTTAATTCTTTGCTAGCAAAGGTGTCTCCAAGAGGAGTTAAAAAAATAAAACTGACAGCTGATCTAGGGTAAGTACAAGTTACAGTCAGAATCAACAAGCCTGTCACTTTTTCCTGGTAGGTAAATCTTTGACTAAGACTTTCTTCGTCTTCTATTGACTGCATGCTCCTAGTATGTTGGCTACAATAAATGTTTCAGTAAATGCTTTCCATTTAAACGTAATTTGCAGTTGACTTGTGCCAGGCAGACTCAGTTATTAAAAAAAGCTGAAAAAATAATAATCTGTTTATGAGAGTGGGGAGGCTACAAAAATGGCAATTTATGGAGCAATTTCTAGCAATTATTGCAAGTTTTTAGGAGTTCTGTAAAAAGAGAATTTTTCTCAAAGAAAGTAACCCCTTGAAAGTAAACCAAGTAAAAACACTTGAAGGGGATATACCCAAATTTGTGAGTAAATACATGTCACATGTCATTTAAAATATTATAGCTTGCACTAATTGTAATGATTATAAAGATAGATCAGTAGTCATAGAAGTGTCACGTTTTTGTTTTGTTTCAAGAAGAATTTTAATTACAGGTAGGTAATATTATTTTGAGGTTTCATTTTCATGTATTTCCCCTACATCCTTTTTCACCATTTAGTTGGTCTATTCATTTTCAGTTTCCTCATGTTAATAAGCCAAGGTACATACGATTATCTGACGCTTTGCTTTTTTAAGTTTCTACTTTTTTTGGTTTATTTTTTACTTTCATTTGGTTGTCTTTTATTTATTTTTATTTTTTCTTTTGTTCATTTTTTTCAATCACTCCTATCCTTTCACTCAAATCCTCCTTTAACCCACTACTGAAATTAGAGCCATCAGCTCCTCCTCAAGACATTAGTTGCACAAGCCCCAGCTCCACTAGCATTTTGGTAAGTTGGAAACCTCCACCGGTGGAAGAACAGAATGGCATTATCACTGAATACTCCATCAAGTACATTGGGATTGATGGAGAAGATGTCAAGCCCCATGAAATTTTGGGAATTTCCTCGGACAGTACCCAATACCTTTTGGAACAGCTGGAAAAATGGACTGAGTACCGGATCTCTGTGACTGCCCACACTGATGTTGGACCTGGCCCAGAGAGCTTAGCAGTATTGATTCGGACAGATGAAGATGGTATGTTGCCTCCACTACATCAGTTTGCGCCTCTATGACTCTCTGTCGATCTGCTGTCTTTTGTATAGCCTAAGAGTATTTTTTTCTGCTCCTCTTTTTCCCAAATCACAGATACTATCACCCTTTGAGATTTTTAATCAAAGACTTGTCCTTTCTACACCATTTTTATATTTGGTGGTTTTGGTTTTTTTAACAGAAAGTACCTTTTTTTGAGTGACATGAATCTGCTGCCCCTTTGAGCCCATACATATCCTTCTTGTTCCTCCTTTAACATAAAAATAACTCTCAGGGGAAAAATCTTTCTGCCTTTTCCTTGATTTTGCAGTCATTGTTATTTTTAAACACTTATGTCTATGAACTTTTTTTCAGGTTTTTTCTTTTTTTTTTTTCTTTAACTGCTTTTTTGTTCCATGTTGTGCTTTTTGATTTGGGTTTTTTTGGGTTGGGTTTTATTTTTTGAGTTTTGTTTTTGATCTTGGAAAACTGATGCTCCACACATTTTCTTTTCTTCCATGCTTGACAGTGACAGAAGACAGCCCTATATCAGCCTCCTTTTTATACTACTGAAAAAAAAAAGAAACAAAGAACTTAGCAAACAAAAATAAGGAAAACATTTTTTGAAATCTTTTGTGTTTTTAGTAGTAGTAGTAGTAGTAGTATTTCAATGATTAAAATATCTCTTTGTACTATAATGCTTTGAAACTCAAAGCATCTTCCTTGGCTTTTGTACATTTTTACATGTTTTTCTATTTCTCTAATACTCTTTTTTCTTCCATTTTTTGCATCAGTCATGTTTTTTGATCTTTTCACTGAAAGGTAGAGCAGATTGGTTGAGCATTTTCATTTGTTGAACAATTTGTATTCTTCAAAGAAAACATAGTGAGTCTGCCCTTTTAAAAGAAAAGCAAAAGACATGGGTAGGACAGGTGCCTGTAATTCTCTTCTGTCCAATAATGTTGTTCCAGTTCCTAGTGGTCCTCCTCGCAAAGTCGAGGTAGAGGCTGTCAACTCTACTGCTGTTAAAGTGTCATGGCGCTCACCTGTACCCAATAAGCAGCATGGTCAGATCCGAGGATACCAGGTCCACTACGTGAGGATGGAAAATGGAGAGCCAAAGGGTCAGCCCATGCTGAAGGACATCATGCTGGCTGATGCACAGGTAATTGGGGCATTTTGTGTTCTTTTCTAGGTCACAGTGGAAAGATTTCGTGTAGCAGAGAGCTATCCAGAACTGCCTTTTTTCTTCTTTCTATATTTCAGCCTACCAGCTAACATTTTTTATCTCTATTTTAAAAACTTTTTTTCAGAATACTTACATTTAAAGTTTCTTGGACCAAACCTAGGCACCCTTTTCTGTATAGGTGTGCAAGTAAATGCTAAGCTGTGTCATTCTGCTCACTCCCTTAAACCTGGAGTCTTCACCCTATACCTATGCTCTGAAGTTTTAAAGCATCAGGGAGATGTGAGCCAGGGTCATAGTCAGTGTAGCAAACTGTGCACTGCCTGATCCACCCACCCCATATTTCTTTGTTTCAGTGGAGAACCTAGAATCATTAGAAGCCTGTGTTAGCCCATTATTACAGTGTTTCTGTCATTAGCGTGTATCCACCTCACTACGCGTGTCACAGGAAATGAACTTATCAGTGCAACTTTAGAAATCACCGAGGTGTTTATACTTGTCATTATTCATATCAATAACTGTGCAATAAAATTAGGACCTTAGTTTAAATCGGTATGGGTTTACTTATATTGCAAAATTTCCCATTTGTTTTATAAATTATGAGGCATGAAAACAAAAGCCTGATCACATCAAGTTTAAAAAGCTTCTAAAAATAGGATTTTGCAGGTTGGGATACACTAGTGCTCTGTAAAACTGAAGATACCCAAAGCTCCTGGTACTGGAGGAATCATCCTACATTGAAACAATTATTAAGTACACACCTCTCATTGCTAGCTCTCGATTTATGACTGGAATGACTGGAAATGATAAGAAATTATCAACCTAGCATAAAGTAAAGAGTTAAATTGGCCTCTTAAGCATTTTATGTAAATAAATAAATGTTTTCTGGCTTCTTTTGTTTCTTCTTTCAGTCTTAGTTCTAAATTTCTGTTCTGCAGATACCTTTGTACTTACCTATTTTGCAAAACATGGTGTTCTTACAGCTTAAATTCAGTGGAGAGAAAGATGGAAACAGGTGGGGACGTGGGAAGGGAAAGGGAAAAGGGAGAGGAGATGGAAAAGAGGATGCTGCTGTGCTTTGGTTCTCCTCTTCCTTGCACAGATTTTCACTTTCAACTTCTGTGTGGTAGTATTTTACAATAATTTTAAACACTAGAAGGTCAGAAGTGAGAGACTAGATGAGATATCGGAGCCCAAATATCACGAAGGCAAAAGCCATATTTCTTTTTTTGCCAAGTTTGGCTTTGACCTGCTTGTTTTCCATTGGTTCACTCTGGATAGTCACCTCCTTTCTCCTCCTGCCACTCCTTCCTGCCATTCATACTTCTTTGACACATGTGATCAGGGCTTGTGCAGGTATGAAGACCTTGATGGTAAAAGATCAGTGTGGTTAGGTTTCAAGACTAAAAAATCCTGCTATTAATTTAAATAAGGCGTTGAATTCATTTAGGAAACTCAAGCATATAGCCTAGTAACATGGTAAAATAAACCAGGTAGCCTTTAATTCTGCCTTGGTAGTTTTTTACTAATACCATCTATTATAAAAAATTACTACGTGGTACAAGAGGATTGATTACTTCTTTCATCTTTCAAGGAAAGAGAAGTGGCTGGTATTAGGGAAAGCAGAAGTGGAATTAAAAATTCCTGGCCTGATTTCATTAACCAAATTCTACGTGATTCTACACGATTAATTCAAATTGTACATGATTTTTCCAGACATCATTCATATTTATTTTACTATTAAGAAGAAAACATTACCTCAACCAGGCTACAAATCTCTTAATTTCTTGTGTTTTTCCTTCCAACATTCTTTACTCTCAATCAGTGGGAATATGATGATACTACTGAACATGTGAGTAGTTTTTGACTGGCCAGAAAAGCAGTGTGTGTTGGGTTTGGGATTTTTTTTTTTTCTATTTGCTTGTTTGCTTGTAGCTTTATTTGATTTTTTTGAGTTTTCTTAGGTTTTCTTTTTTTTTTTTGTCATTTGCACAAACGCATGCTCCTAACATCAAAGTTTTTTCCCTTACGGCACTTTTTTCCTTTTTTTTTTTTCTTTCCCCAGGGAGAGTGGGTGTTATTGTTGCTTGCTTGTTCTGGGCTTTAGCATGATGCCAAAATGTACAGAACTGGTTTGTGTTTTCTTCTTTTTGATGGCTGCCACTAACATTGCCTCGCAATTTCCTCTTCACAAGAAGGTGTTAGAAAAATAAAACAAAAGTGGTTCAGAGTTGGGTAGCAATAGTCAGATTTTTTTGTATTCACTTTAAGGTTGACTTTTTTTGTGTAGCTGAAAGTTGAGATCAGTTGTGCTTTCTTTTTGGTAATTTGATAAATGTATTTTGTATGATATCAGGAAAGCCAAATGCCCTGTAGTGTTTATGCCTAAGTAATAGTGCTTGCTGTATCCAAATCACACTTTTAAACGACACCACTACATGCAGTCATATCTCTTACACCATGAAGTACTGCTTGGTTTAGATGAGACTAATATCTTCATCACTGTTTAAAAGGTTGGCAATTCTTTTTTGCCTTTTATAATTTTACTCTGTTAATATCAGGTGCAGTTTCCTTATGAAAGATGAGAAGTCTGTCTTACTGATTTTGGCCTTTAGGACTAAGGAAGGGGGGGGGGGGTTGTAGGTTTTTTTAATGTGTTTTTATTTTATTTGAGCTATTTTGCCTACTTGTTTCGATCATTACCTTGTTATTTCTATATTGCTAACAACTGACTGTAAATACAATGCCGAATTCTAATCACGCCTGTACTAAGCTCATACCCGCTATCTTGAAAAATCCATTTACTGTGGATAGTCTGACCAATAATTTTTATATTCACTTTTATGGTTGTTGCATCTGAGGGGTGTGTGATTGCATATTTGCTGTTTATTCTAGATGCATAAATATACCATCTGTCTGACAGCAGTGAAATTTAGTGTAAATCCATTCAGGCATGTGAGAACGCAAAGGAGTAGTCCAGTAGTTACAGGCTTAAATTCCTCTGGCTGTCCTTATAGCATGACATAAGTTTAGTTCATTTCAGGTGGCTGGCCCTTCACCATCTTCTGTCTGTGTATACGTGTGTGTATATGTGTGTGTGCATGCGCACATGTGTAAAGATCTCCTTGCTTTGACACTTACAGTTTGATCTTGCTCCCGTTCACTTGCACTAGCTGAAGAGCTACTTGTTTTGCAGCTGCTGTCATTTGAGGGCTGTCAGATTTATTCTCTGACTAGATTTTTAATGGTGTTTTAGGTAGTTCTTTTAGACCTGAAGGGTGAGTTGTTTCTGAAGTCCTCTGAGATATTTAGATGCACATCCAACCAGTGACACAGGTTGCAATTAAAGTGTTATGAAAGTAACAAGGCTTTCTTGTTCAGCTAAACCATCATTACTTACAAAGTGTGGATACAAACGCAACACTCTTCTTACTAGGCATTTATAACTATATCAGTGATGTCCTGTAAATGACTAAGTTAAATGGAGTTTCTCATATCTACATATGCATGCATTTCACAATATCAGTAGTAGTCCTCAGGCAAGATATTTCAGAAGGTTTTTTTCACTGTTCACACCACTAAGCCTTTGGCCTTGTGCCTTAAACTACCTGAGGCATGCTATTTAGAAGTGTGCTGTCTTTTATTGCTAAAGTGAGTGAAACATCTTGCATTATGAAGTATTTCACACAGAACAGTCTGTTGGGGCTCTCAAATGCTTGCTATCACTGCCAGTAGCACAAAAGTGTGTGCACTATATGTAATATACAGGGGTTGTCTGAAGGATTCCATGATCTCCTGGAGAACAATCTATTTTTAATAAATTGTTCTTGTTTTATTTCATCTTAGGAAATGATAATTTCTGGGCTTCAGCCTGAAACTACATACTCCTTCACTGTGACAGCCTATACAACAAAAGGTGATGGAGCACGCAGCAAGCCCAAACTCGTATCTACTACTGGTGCAGGTAATACTCACATACCCGTTAATCACTGAATAAATCCTTTGACTTTTCCTGCTAGTGTTTTGCTCCTGCTATTTGGAAGTCTCCTGTTGTGTAAAAAGTGTTTATAGGATGTGGCGTTTTCTGTTTCAGTCTTTTGCCCTTCATTTATTTAGATAAAAACAGAACCAGTGTCCCCCTTTGTCCTTTCTCAGTTCAAGATGCAGCCAAAATGTAATACTTAACTTTATACTTTCTAGTAGCTTTTCTATTCTGATTGGTGGAGAGGAAAAAAAAGAAATTCAGAGCTGAGAAGGATGTTTGAAAAACTCATGAAGGGCTTTCCTGATCTTTGTGAGAGCAGCAATGCTGCTGTCTGTCAGTAAGAACATTGAAAGAACCTATCTGTATGACAGTCACAACTTATCTCAGAAGAATGTGATTATTAAAGCAGAGAATTAGAAAACTGAATGAAAGTCCAGCCTGTGAAACCCTGAAGAAAAAAAAAATTGCTTCAGTGGCAATTTGAGGCATAAACTGGGGCAAAATACACCATGCCACTGTGTTCAGTCTGCATTTGATCACAGGTGGTACTAGATGGTGGGTATCTGACTGCATGACCAATTCAGCTGATTGAGTTAGCACTGATGGGATGAACTGAATTGCTTTTCGATGAGGAACAAGGTTTTTTAAATATAAATGGCTCACTGTGGCACAGCTTAACCAAATGGTGCCACCATAGTCTTAGTGTGGTCTTCACTTACAGATGTTCACAGCCTGTAGGTGTTCATTTTCTGGGTTTTGTAGTGTAGCCATTAAGGATATTGCATTACAATCACATGGAAACCTTTGTATCACTGTTACAAGCTCTTGTAATAACAATGTATTGTTTATGCTAACAGATAAAGTCCAAAAGGCGTATGTATGTGTATTTATACTGATTGACTCAATTTTTAAAACAATCACTGGATGTAAAGCACAGCTTTTACTAATATCAGAAACATCTATATCCTTGTCTCATCAGCTTCCTTGGAAAAATCTCTTTGGAAGTCTTGGTGGCTAGATATATCATATAGTTTCATTTCAGATTTTAGAGTACCTTCTAGTCATTACTCTTGACTGCTGCTGAAACTTACCCTCCAACTTATTATGTTTCCTCAATTCTTATGGTCGGGGGGAAAAAAGTTACATATACTTCTTACTTGCATTTGAACTTGATTTAAGAAAAAAGACACTCAATCCATTATTCTTTTTAAAGTTCAGTTCCCAATTTAAATAAACACAATTACATAGATTATGATTTGGTTAGTTTCTAGACATAAATATAGGCTATGCAAACCTGCTTGCAAAACTTAAAGCCTCTGTGCCTTTAGTCCTTATTGACTATTCATGTTTTACGCTTCCAAGATCTCTGATGCTTCTGCTTTAGAAAGATGAACAAATCCCATGTCCCATAAAACCCTGAGTGACTGAAGAGCAATTGAGAATCAGAGGCGTGCCTGTAAATGTAACATATACTACACTGTTCTTGCTGTTTGCTTCATCCTGTAGACAAGTAATGTTTGTTCCTGGTCTCTAGGAAAACAGCTAGTTACCATTTTGCTCCTTCATACATTCCAAGTTGTATGAACACCTTTTCACTTGCTGTTACAGCTTGCTGTGGTTGAGCTCCTTTTGTAAGGAAAATTCATATGCAGGCTTTTGAAAAAGGAGACAATAAATATAGTCAGTACCAACAGTTTCCAGCTCACTGTCTTTCTATGACAATACATCAGGCAGGTGAAGGAATGATGCATTAATACTAGAGGCTTGTAGGTCTGAACTACACCCTCCTATTCTCTGAGAGTTTCCATTTGATTTTTTTTCCTAAAAAGGTGTTATGCAAATACTACAATAAAGCAAATGAAGGGTCTGACTTTCTAGTGTAATTTTTAAAGGTTTAAGTCAGGTGCAGCTGTATTAGAACGAGTGAGATTATATCCATAAGAGATATGAAAGAAGAATAAAGGTCTAAATGTTTACTGGAGAAACTTACTATTCATAAGTTATTCAAATGATAAGTAACTATTCAGCTGCGTCCAGTTAGTGATAGAATAGCATCATTTACATTTTAGATGGGAAAGATTCACCAATTGTAAGTGAGCCTACAGTACAGTAACTGCAGTGATTAATGAAGTCACTGAATGCAGTTAATATTTTCACTCCAGAGTGTGTTTTTGTCTTATATTCAGTTTCCTTTTCTAGTTTTTGAAATCAGATGGAAGAAAAAATGTTCCTGAACATTTCCAAGTCAAAGTATTTGAAAATTTTAAATTACTTGGGGCAGAAGTTACAAAATACGTGATTTACAAGGCCTAGATAAAAATTAAGACTTACTAGTCAGTGATATCATACCACTTTTATGGAGAATCTAATCAGACCTTTAATTTCTGGGTCATAGTAGCTGAAGAATCTCATAGCACAACAGCTTGTCCATTATTTGGAATTTACTCTGTACTGGACAGCACTCTTAAAATACAGATTTCAGCTAGGAGGAGAGAATTTACATTAAGACAGTGGTGTACTGTATAGCAGCTAACAGAAACGTTACTTCAGGTAATTTGGCAAAGGCAGCTTGCATGAGCTTCTACTAGTAATGGCATGCCATTACAACTGTTTGGTGTAATGACTGTTGCAGGGGGGTGTGTGAGGGACATCTTACTGTGTAGTAACGGAAGTGGACTTCACTAGATCAGAGAATGTATTTTTTCATGGGCAATTTCACTTCGTTTGGTCTCATGGCAAATTCAAGTCTTATTGTCAGATGAGGTTCCTAGATAGAGCTATTCCATAACACTACTGTATATATAGGACTGCACAGAATCCTGCTGTTTGTCCCACAAGACTGTAATATTCACAAGTGATCATACTAAACGAAAATGTTAACTGAAAGCTATCTGGAAAAAAAAAGAGAGACAGAAAAACATTTTCTTTCTCTGTCAATAGTTGCATGTTGAAAAAAAGGAAATTCATACACTTCACAAAATCAGATAGGCTCCATATTAGGGGAAAAAAAAGTGACTGCTGTTATTTACCATTTTAATCACAAGATATTTTATTGAATAAGTAAGCTTTATTAGTTCCCCTGTTCTGATCAAGAGCAAGTTGTAATTTCTTTCTTTCTCTGTAGTTACTACAAAGGTTAAAAAGTAGTTCTAACTGTGAGGTCTGGCCCAAGAAAAAAAGGCAATTTATCACAAAAATTATTTAGTGACACCTTCCAGCAGTCTCTCCTCTAGAAAGCTGAAGGAGTTATTTTTCTATTTGTGTGGACTCTTCTTCACTTTCATATGCTCCATTGGTTTCAGTAATAGTTATAATGTAGAGAAAAATATGGCCTGCAAAAGGCCTTCACAGCCTTTTCTATGTTCCATAAAGGCTCATAATAATCAAGGAGGAAAAGTCAGAACTAGTCAGAGAGATATTCTTTACACAGCAGAAAGTGTAGGAAAAAACTTACAAAATTCCTGGTAATAATACTTGCATGTGAACTAGACAATTAAAAGAAAAGATATTTGGAAAATTTATAGAAAAACTAGCTATAATTCTTATGCAATTAGAAGCAATGTCACAACTTATGACAGATATAATGAGGAAAGAGCTTATTAAATGCAGAATTTTCTTCAAGCCATGCCATTCCTCCCTCCTTATTCCTAATTCATTACGGAATGGTAGTCAAAACTTCTGACAATAAGAATCTGATTTGCTGGGTGCCTGAGAACTGAAGATAAGTAATAAAATCCATTGAAGTGTTTAAATACAGGAACCAGAGCTCACAGTGCAGCATTCATGTGGGAAGGCTTTGAATGTGGATGGAACTAATTAGTCTTCATGGAAGACTATGTTATGGCACTACTACTCCCAAAACTATTCTAGTCTCTTGACCTGTCAGGCATTGGTACATAATGAACACCAAATTTCTAAATAGTTATGGATATGCTTCATTATCAAATAAGTCATTATAATAGAAACAGACTATTTTGAAATAGAAATATTAATGAAAAGGGAAAAAAAAGTTACTGCTGTTAATTACCATTTTAATCACAAGATATTTTATTGAATAAGTAAGCTTTATTAGTTCCCCTGTTCTGATCAAGAGCAAGTTGTAATTTCTTTCTTTCTCTGTAGTTACTACAAAGGTTAAAAAGTAGTTCTAACTGTGAGGTCTGGCCCAAGAAAAAAAGGCAATTTATCACAAAAATTATTTAGTGACACCTTCCAGCAGTCTCTCCTCTAGAAAGCTGAAGGAGTTATTTTTCTATTTGTGTGGACTCTTCTTCACTTTCATATGCTCCATTGGTTTCAGTAATAGTTATAATGTAGAGAAAAATATGGCCTGCAAAAGGCCTTCACAGCCTTTTCTATGTTCCATAAAGGCTCATAATAATCAAGGAGGAAAAGTCAGAACTAGTCAGAGAGATATTCTTTACACAGCAGAAAGTGTAGGAAAAAACTTACAAAATTCCTGGTAATAATACTTGCATGTGAACTTGAAAATTAAAAGAAAAGATATTTGGAAAATTTATAGAAAAACTAGCTATAATTCTTATGCAATTAGAAGCAATGTCACAACTTATGACAGATATAATGAGGAAAGAGCTTATTAAATGCAGAATTTTCTTCAAGCCATGCCATTCCTCCCTCCTTATTCCTAATTCATTACGGAATGGTAGTCAAAACTTCTGACAATAAGAATCTGATTTGCTGGGTGCCTGAGAACTGAAGATAAGTAATAAAATCCATTGAAGTGTTTAAATACAGGAACCAGAGCTCACAGTGCAGCATTCATGTGGGAAGGCTTTGAATGTGGATGGAACTAATTAGTCTTCATGGAAGACTATGTTATGGCACTACTACTCCCAAAACTGTTCTAGTCTCTTGACCTGTCAGGCATTGGTACATAATGAACACCAAATTTCTAAATAGTTATGGATATGCTTCATTATCAAATAAGTCATTATAATAGAAACAGACTATTTTGAAATAGAAATATTAATGAAAATATAAATGAAATATATATGTATATAAATAAATATGAATAAATGAATAAATAAAAATAAATATATAAATAGAAACAGTAAATGAGAGCAATTGATATTGGGACTCCAAAGATATATACCATATAAGTTGTATAATTGGAATTCCCCCTTGATTAGGGCTAATTCGATCCTTTAGACTGAATGTTCTCACCACGCTTACAGTCTGAACTTCTCTGAAAGACAAATCATCAGTTTGGACCAATAGGTCCCAATTAAGGATTTAAGTGTATCTGGTGTGCAGGTTAAGAAGAGCTTCCAATTTAGTCTTCTTCAGAAGTCCAGTTCATGTGCACCAAGACCATGCTGGAAACTAAATCATATGTCATAAGCCAGGGCAATCAAGAAATTAAATTCCAAACTGTGCTACCCCTCCAGGCTGAAACAGCCCATGCTGGAGGTGATTTGTGAATGGAAGGTGGAACGATAGGGTTCTGTCATACGTAGTAATGATTGTTGATGATAAGGTTGGGCTGTCTTCCTTTCTACCCCATTTTAACTATCAATGGCAAAAGTTATGTTGACACATCTAGAAACTTGTAATTTCTCCATTATTATTATTACTACTACTACTACTACTATTACTATTATTATTATAATTAATTATTTTTCCATTTACAGGAATGGCAGAAATGTGCCTTGGATTAAATTAAAGAATACTTATGACAATGCTCTTTTTTTTGTAAGCAAGGATTTGTAAGTGAGGCAGAACCATTCATAAGATATGTGTTTTAAGTTTTACTTCTTGACTTGTGTTCCTATGTCCTATGCCTCTGAATGTTCTCTGTATTTAGAAATAATGGTAAGGAAAGAAGACAAAAAGCAGTAAATGGCTTTACTATCATAGTTCATTATACTGTATGACTCAATAGTGCAGGAGGCAGACATTATTTCTTCCATATGACAGTAATTTGTGGAACTAAGAGTGAAGGAAGAGAAAATTTATCCCTATTCCTGCTAAAACTAGCCTTTAACTAGCCTCAAGAATTGTACATGCAATTCTGTTTGTGTTTATCATCTTTAAATAACATTGTGCTACAGTTCCAGGCAGACCTCGGCTTGTGATTAGCCACACACAGATGAACACGGCTCTAATTCAGTGGCACCCTCCTGTGGACACTTTTGGCCCGCTGCAGGGTTATCGCCTGAAGTTTGGTCGCAAAGACGTGGATACAGTTACGACCATGGAGTTCTCAGAGAAGGAAGATCACTTCACAGCCACAGACATTCACAAAGGAGCTTCTTACGTCTTCAGGCTCTCAGCTAGAAATAAAGTGGGCTTTGGGGAGGAGATGGTTAAAGAGATTACTGTTCCTGAAGAGGTACCCAGTGGATTTCCCCAAAATCTTCACTCGGAAAGCTCTACTTCTACATCAGTTCAATTAACTTGGCAGATGCCACTCTTGGCAGAGAGAAATGGCATTATCACCAAATACACCATCTTGTACAGAGATATCAATGTTGCTTACCAGCCAGTTGAACTCCCTGTTGTTCCTGCTGATACCACTATGACACTTTCTGGCTTAAAACCAGATACCACATATGATGTAAAAGTACGTGCCCACACAAGCAAAGGGCCTGGTCCATATAGTCCAAGTGTCCAGTTCAGGACACTACCCGTGGATCAAGGTAGGATTTGTCTGCTTATGGCGTTGACCTTTAAAGGAGTATCGGTCTTTGGATATCAGTGTTTTTGAAGCTGTAAATAAAACTGACCGGCCCATTCATAAAAATAGGTTCATCAAACACAAAAGGTAAAGTATGTAAATCTTAATATGTTTTGGATGCCTTAGAATTCAGTTGTCCCTTGCCAAGCAGTTCTGGCTAACATCTTCACAATTTTTTCAGGTAAGGAAAATATACGTGTTGGGTTGTCACTAGATAAGAGTGAGAATGAGTTAAAATGTGATATTTAAATATGAGCACACAGGTAGGAGAATTGAATCCTTGTTGATTTTTGACCTAAATGGTAGCAGTGGAAATACGACAAGGTCTGAGCTCCAAGATGTTGTTTATATACATTGTTTCTTTTTTTCCAGCAGTGTTTGCAAAAAATTTTCATGTTAAAGCAGTAATGAAGACTTCTGTTTTGCTGTCCTGGGAAATTCCAGAAAATTACAATTCAGCCTTGCCTTTCAAAGTAAGTTACTTTCCATTTGTATGAGAGAAAATACAGAAACCAGAGGATGTCATTCACCTGGTTAAGTAGCTTATGGAATATGTGGATTTTTTTGGTATTGCTGTATTTAAGAATGCAAACTAATCAGCAATATTGACCCCAGCTGTTAAATTCAGTCGTTTGGCAATATGAGCTTTCCACTGTTGTGGCAGCATTTCCAAGTCAGGCTTGTACTGGTTATTATGCATGGTATGAACACCTTGCTAATTTGTAGTTCGTTGCTACTGTATTTTAGAGAAAACAGTGAAAGAAAAGAATAATTTTCTTCTTTTTTTTAGTAATTTCTGTTGTGACTGTAACTGAGTACCATTTTGGTTTTTGTCTCCTCACATTTACAATGTTGTAACTTACTCCACTAACTATAGCATTAGCCAGATAAAGTAGACCCGATGCAACCTGCAGTCTGGCTGGCATTTCTTCTGCATCATTCTTCATCACTTGTGTCATCTCAGGCAGTGGCAAGTGAAGAGCAGTATTTTATGAACTAAATGTTGCAAAAACCTTTCTGAATAAGAAGTGTGAATGAAAAAGTCAAGGTACCCTTAACAACAAGTGTGCCTTGATATAAATGCTGGATTCAAGCAAACCTATTGAATTTGAATAAGTGAAATTGGATTTTAGGAGTGCTTACACTGCTTCAAATTAATGTAGTTCTTCTTTTTCCCCTGAAAGTGAGAAGTTTAATTGCAGTAGAGAATTCAGTACTATCTTACAGCCTAAAATGCCCAGTAACTTTCATTTTAAATTTATAGCTAGGTTCATTCCTGAATTCAGTGTGACAGTATCAGTTGCCTTCTCTTAGTAATCAAAACCTTCAATTTATATATTAACTTAGATCCTTTATGATGATGGAAAAATGGTGGTGGAGGTTGATGGACGTGCCACTCAAAAACTGATCACTAACTTGAAGCCAGAGACATCATATTCATTTGTGCTGACGAACAGAGGGAATAGTGCTGGGGGTCTTCAGCACAGAGTGACAGCAAAGACTGCACCAGACGTGCTTCGTACCAAGCCAGTCTTCATTGGAAAGACCAACTTAGACGGCATGATAACTGTGGAACTTCCAGAAGTACCTTCAAATGAGAATATAAAGTGAGTGAATGAATGACGTACCATTGTTTTTATCTCCAGAAACATGATTATTCTTACTGTTAATAGAATCTAGAGCTGTAGTTGTGGACCCGGGCTTTATTCTTCAAAATGGTACAGAGAGTACAGCACTCTGCAGTAGTATTTGGACTAATATTGGACTAATATTTGATGATACTAAACTGGGAGGTGTTGTTGACTCTCTCGAGGGACAAGAAGCCTTGCAGAGGGATCTAGATAGATTGGAGCATTGGGCTATGATTAATGGCATGAAATTTAACAAGAACAAATGCCAGATTCTGTTGTTAAGGTACTTGAATGCATCCGGAGGAAGGCGACAAAGCTGGTGAAAGGGCTGGAAGGCATGTCCTATGAGGAGCGGCTAAGGACTTTGGGTTTTACTAGTTCAGAGGAAAGGAGGCTGAGGGGCAACCTCATTGCTCTCCACAGCTTCCTGAGGAGGGGAAGTGGAGAGGGAGGTGTTGATCTCTTCTCCCTGGGATCCGGTGATAGGACACATGGGAATGGTTCAAAGCTGCACCAGGGGAGGTTTAAACTTGACATTAGGAGACATTTCTTTACTGAGAGGGTGGTCAAACCCTGGAACAGGCTTCCTCGAGAGGTGGTCGATGCCCCAAGCCTGTCAGTGTTTAAGAGGCATTTGGACAATGCCCTTAATAATTGTGCTTAAACTTTTGGTCAGCCCTGAAGTGGTCAGGCAGTTGGACTAGGTGATCGTTGTAGGTCTCTTCCAACTGGAACTATTTTGTAAGTTTGTTGCTTAGCCAAGTATGTAAGACTGAGTAAAATCTAGATGGAAATATATGGAGAAGAATTGTCCTTCAGTTTGTAGCTGTTTCTCAGAGTACTTTTGTGTTTCATCGCTGATTTCAAATAGCAGAGAGATTAAGGAAGCCAGTTGTGTTTTGAACAATGTATCCTCTCAAGAAGAATGGATGACCCATTGATGGGTAGCTACCCTGCTGCAGCACCTTGAAGTACTCAGACTCAGTCATTCCAGATTTACATGAAGTTTTAAAGAATTGTTACTGGACTTATATTAATTCAGATTAATTAATTCTGAAGTTTTTTATTAAAAGAAAAATCTCAGGTCCTCCCCACTCGTCCCAGAAAGAAAACAGGAGATTTTGGTGAAAAATTTGGCAGAGTTTACCAGAGATTACTTAGATTTTGGGGGAAAAGGTGTTGTGGAGATTTAAACAGCAGAAATAGGACTAAAGAGCTGACTGCACACGTTCAGCAGGGATTAGAAAGGTTAGACAATAAAGATTTGCCAAGAAAACATGAAGCGTGGTACAATCAATAAGTGTTATTGCTCTGCTTATAGTGATTCTTGTTGGTCTGTAAGGTTCCCATGTGTAATGTAAAGGAAATGGGGAGGAAAATGAGCAAGTCATTAAATATTGTTGGGGATTCTACTTGTCCTCTCCCTGGTGGATTTTTACTGATAGCTTTGTAGAAAACTGCTCCCCTTTTTCATTGCTGACTGAGGATTTTGAGGCAGGTGAGGTCAAGAAAGAAATTACTTTTAGACATTAAAAGGATGAAAAACTGAAAAACCTAGCCATTATCATTAGATTGAGTAAGATGCGGTCAGTAACAAATGCAGCTAAGGAAGACTGAAGATGGAATGAGTCAAAAAAGATTTATGAGGCAGACCATTCACAGAGAGAAAAAAGTGCAGGTAGTTGGTCAAACAATAGCAAAGACAGCAGCGGAAAAAGAGCCAATGCCCTTCCTTTTATGTAGTGTAAAAAAATGAAAGAGGCTAAGTGACATCAGGAAAGGTACGTTAAACCTATAGGGTACAACTGCCAATTTTGCAAATATTGTATCTCCTCCTTCTATATCTGTTTCCTAAGAAGATGTGATCGGGCTTGAGATAGAAAAACAAAACAACAACAAAAAATTGACTTGACCCTTGGAAGCAGGCATACCAAAGCAACTACATACTGAACAGAAAAAGCTTACCTGATGCTTGCTAGAATGAGTAAGATTATTGCAGCTATAGTCTTTGTATAGGAAGAACAATTTTGTGTAATAGCTATGTTGACATTTTTACAGTTGCTGTTCCTCTATGGGTACATTATATGCTCATGATTGTCTCTGTCTTACCATGAAGCACTATACACTGAGAATCTTTCAATAATACTAATTACACAGAAGGTGAAACAGTTAATGGTTTGCTCTAATGAATTATAGGTAAACACTAATGGGATTGAGGGTAATGTTATAAAAGCCTTTGTGATTTATTAAAGATGGTAGAAGTAATTGTCATTATTTCAATGTTTGATGGTGATACAGCATAGAAATTGGAGCAGAGCTCACCTTATGCTAGGTAAAATGGATCTCTTTTGCTGGTGTAATCTCAAGTGAGCAATTTTTTCATTTTCATGTAGTATTTTGGGCTAAGCCAAAGCAATTTTTATGTGTAAAGGACAAAAAAAAGTTCATGTTTCTCTGAATCTCTTCCATCTTTGCAAATTCTTAGGTAAAAACACAGTTTTATGGAAGACTTTGGCCTTTGTAATACTCAGTTGTTCAAGCAATATCCAAGCAAACCTTTCATTTCTCACCCTTCCCCCCAAAAAAAACCCCCTCAAGACAAACAAGCAAATAATAAAACATGTTTTTCAAGAGATGCTGCATTTTCTGGAGTTAGCTAGAAGTAACAGAACTTTGTTGTCCTTTACAATTTGCAGCACTATATATGTGAACAGTTTCATTTTTCTGCTTGCTGTTGAGGTGCTTGTGCTTTCAGCTTTAAAATACTCTGTATGTGCTGAACGTCTTAGTGGATGATCAAAGTTATGAGTGGGAGGCATGCATGAAGAAAGTGTGAAAGAGTGTGAAAGTAACATTTACATGCTGGATGTTCCTTGATTGAAAAAAAAAGGATGAACACCCTGTTAGCTTAAAAAAGAAAAAGAAGAAGAAGAAAAAAATAGGATAAGTAAGAGACTGCTGTGCAGGTGCAGTTCATCCAGCAGATGTATCTTTGATGTCTGAAAGACATATAGGGGCCAATTCTCGATTGCTTTTTGTCTTGTTTCTTAGGCATCTCTTAAAGTAAAGGTATGTAGGTTGTAGTTATTGTATACATGGCTAAATCAGCATTCACTAGGATTTGTTTTTCATGTAACCAAAGAATTTTAAAAATACATACTCAGGTTTAAAATATGCATTCAACCAACCTGACTAGTTCTGAATAAGAACATCAATGTAAAAGGTGATTTATCATATTGTTACTATAAGGATGCATGCTGCAGATTTTATTTAAATACTGGAATACAGCAAGTGAGCAGCAGTTAAAAATCTGTGGCCAACACTTCTTGTTTCCAGCACCTCCTGTTGGAGCTCAGCATTTCCACAGAGAAATTTCTCAGGTTTCTTAACACAAGAATTAATAAATATGTGCATGTACTACAGTAGTTAAAAATCCAAAGTTTTGTTACATTTCTTTTATGGCAGGGGGCGGTAATTAAGAAGAAACAATTAAAATGGACCAGTGGTGTGCACTGGTATGTAAGAAAGTTTATAGAGTCAGTTTAGACTGAGATAGTTTTTGATCAATTGTAAGGCAAGTCCTTTTCTGTAGACTCTATTTCATTAATTACTTTAGGATTTTCACCTGCATTGCATGAGTAAAATGAATAGTCAGTGCTGCAGAAGGTTGAATAGGCTGTAAAAAATGGCAGACTGGAAGAGAAGAAGATGGTCCATGAGACACTAAAATTATCTTCCATAATGGAGAGGCAGAGACACCTTCTTAATAAGCCCTGTTGTTACTAGAAACAAAGGAGAGCAGCTTCTTTCCCTCTCCTCTGAGATGGAGAGTGCTTGACTTTTTGACAAGTCTGTTCATCAAGAAGATGTATATTATACCATCCTGGATGTCCTGCTGTTGTGATTCTACTGCTACTTTCCTCACACTAATGTGAAATTACGGATCTGCCTGACGTCTGTCCAGGCTTTGTGAAGGAAACAAGGAAAGTGCCATATCTCTATTATACTAGAAAGTATAATTTACTAGTCTCCATGGGAGGAGAGGAGGAAGATATTTTCAGGAAAATGTTTCTGAGGAAGACTGGTATATGTAATTTGCAAATACTAGCTGTAAAGAGAGCATACATCAAGCTCTCTTGTCTATGACTGTGAACAGAATACTTAAGTAGATAAACCTGATGGTGATTGATACTCAGAAGTAAAGAGTGTGTGGGTGGAGTGTATGCCAAGTCTTCCTTATTTTCTGTTTATAATAGTATTGGTGTCAACAAACACATTATGTTAACCTGCTATTCTGATGATACGTGAAAATGGGGGAAGATGGGGTGATAATTGAGATTTAAATATATGGTAATAGGTTTCAATTTAAGGGTTTGGGGTTTTTTTCCCAGTGTGATAGTGGCAGGGCAGAAATATCCCATGGCTCTTGTATTTCAAATGAAGTAATAAACTGCAGTCAAACATGTAGGCATTTTAGAACATTGTAATTAAAGTTTCTTATACATATTTATATGTTTACATGAAAAGTCAGGTAATTAGTGCCATTTGTTTGTCAAATGTTTTACACTGGATGTTGTTTCAAGAGTGTGAATCTTTACAACTATGTTTGGAAGGCTGCAGTGGCATAATAATGTGCGGAAGTTCGCTCTCAACCTAGTGCTGTTCTCTTAAGTTCCTCTGAACAGACACCTACTCCATCAATTTATCTATTCCTTTTCCTTCAACTTCACTTTTGTCCAACTGTTTCCTTTACAGAGGTTATTACATAGTTATTGTGCCTTTGAAGAGGTCTCGTGGAAAGTTTATCAAACCGTGGGAGAGTCCAGATGAAATGGAACTAGATGAGGTACTGTATGTTTTTGTTGTCAACTTCTCCTTTATTAAAGAAACAATCTTATTAGTGGTATGTGATTAACTCACCAGTTTTAGAAGTTTTGGTTGTCAGGATGTTTTATATTTATATTTGAATTAGCCTGTGGGGACTGAAACGAAAGCTCAAATTACTTAAATTAGAAGACAATAAAGACATTAAGTTGCAATAAAGCACATAAAGTGTCTGATCTTTGTTGGCATTAATATTTTATTCTTTTCCTATTGTAAAGCGTAATGCAAAAGTGCAGGAGGTGAAATGAGTTGTCAGCAAAAGCTTAATCACCAATGATATGAACTCTAATAAAGGTCTGGTTCATTAGTGGGTTGTTTACTAAGCCTGTAACAAATGCTAAATTGCATTTGCACTGCAATTTAACATTTGACCTTCTTGTGGTGTTTTTACCTGATTCTCATATACTGTAATGCTTCTGGTTAGAAAAGTTTTACAGTAGTCTCCATTCTTCTGACAGTTTGTGCTCAGCAATAAATGAATGAAGTAGGAAAGAGCAACATTGTGTCATCATTCAACACTATAAGTGATGTTAACACAGAGAGTGGAAGTACTTTCATTTTAGGAATAAGCCCAGTAATACTAGAAATCAATTTATTATGTTATTGATATAATAATAATTCCAGGAAGTATACTGTCAGTATTCAGTCCTGTCTTCTGTTTTACTGGATGACAGTATAGCTCATGCGAACTTGTCTTTCTTCTTTCAGTCTGTAAATTTGGAATAATACTAATATTTATCATTGTAAAGCTCTTTCGAGAGCCCCATATGAAAGCCCTGTACAAAAGACTAGTGGTGGTGTTATTGTTGTTATTGTTGTATCTGGCTAGGATTTTAGATCTCATTCAGATGCTATGGTCGTTTGTACGTGTAATAGCTCTGCAATTCAAAGACCAGAGATCAAAGTCAGTTTCTTTACTCCTGATTTAGTGATCTTTCGACAGGATCCTGTCTATTTTTCCATTTTCTTTTGGTGGAGTCAAGAGTTTTATGTTACAGAGATGCCTCACCATATGCTTCCCCATAATACAATCACAGGGAAGTAATGATCGTCTGTGAGCAATCACAAGACTTTTTTTCCCTCCTCCCATTGACAAAATGGATATCAATTTCAATGTTTGCACCAAAATGTAAGGAAAATAAAGATCTTCACCAAACTAACACTGCTGTAGAAAGCTGTCAAAATATAAATAGAGGTCTTCCAGTCTTTAGTCTGTTTTCTGATCTGAAAAAGCAAAGAGTATGTACAGCAACAGGAGAATCCTTAATCAGAAGATTAAAAACAACTGTTCAAAGGAAGGCATGGTTTTCGTTACTGCTGACTGCCTGATTGAAGCCTATGTTTCCTCTTGACCAGTTCATTTATGTGATCATCTCATTTGATTCAATTGCAGCGATGACTTGCTTTGATCTATTAACTTTTTCCCTTCAAAAGAACTTGGATTGTAAATGCCGTCAGCTCATTATCATAGTCCTAGGTGACATCAAATACGGTTAAACAGTAAAACTCTGACAGCAAGATACATACAGTAATGGAAAACTGATTTAATATTACCACCCACTTTTAACATCCAAAGACTGTAGTCACATTCAGCAGCATTAACAGATTAAAGGATAGGTGCCGGATGACATTGAACTTTTTGGCAATTAAATTCTACGGGTCCTGCTGATTCCCATAACAAAGGGTCATTTTAATCATCCTGCAAGTTGTGGTGCATTAATCTGTATAACAGATTGATAAAGAGCATTTATTAATTCAGAAATATTTGGGTCAGGATGGGTTGTTTCCCACTTCTACTGATATAATTGAGACCACATTGTAGAATTAATGGTGGAAGAAATAAGATACGCATTGACTGGAAAATGAAAATTATTTCTGATAAAGAACTAAAACCCTTGATATATTTTTCACAATTGCCACTAATACATATAGTAAGTACTGAGTAGGGAAAAAATCAAAAGCAAGCAGCGACTGTATTTCATCCAGTTTCTATTACTTAAAAGACTGTTTTACTTCAATCTTTAGAAAATATATGCATATTGTTATTAGGTGTACTATTCCTGACAAACATGTGAAAGCAGTGGCACAATAAATAAATTGGGGAAAAAACCCACAAAAACTAACCACATGACTCTCTGAGCATAGTTCCTGATGGTCAAGTGAAGATACTTGTGAATATCTTTTTTAGTACAATCTCAGATATCTGGCTAGTATCAGAAAGGGTTGGGCAATAGATTTTCCAAAGAAGTATGTTCCAAATACTTTGCTTAGGTTGGCAGAAGAAAAGTATTTGCTGAAAACACTACTCTGGAGTGTTACCTCCAGTACATAGCTGACCAGTCCAAAAGACTCTCCAGCCTTATTGTAGTTACCTAATCTTCCTGGTTCCTTGAATCTCAATTCTGAAATAAACTAAGAGAGATGCAGAATGTTAAAAGAGCAGACAATGGACTAGATATTGTGTATCTGAAAATAATAATTATTAGAGATACAATCCTTTTTTATTAACTGAAAATTCCATTTTATTTTGAATATCATGAGATCTAGTGACTTTAAATAGGTATGTCATACAAATAAATGAAATATAAACAAAATATTATGATTTGCAGTATTACCTAGTGGGATTACTTTAGATTTGTAAGCAATAAAATGTAAATAAAAGCCTGCATGTTAAGTCTTAAATCAATTCATTAATTTTGTTGAAATCCTGGTATAAAGTACAACAGGAGATATATGTACAGGTAATGATATTTGGCAACAACCCCATTTATTTATGAAACATGAATGAGGCCAGAGGTTCACCTGAGGTCTATTCAGTCATGTGTAATCAATGTCACAGACAAAATTTTTATCTACACACAAACACACTTAAGTTTAGCTGGCCTTAGGTGATGAATAACCACCTTTGAAAAAGTTGAACACATTTTGTTTGACTCAGGCTAATTAACTTTTAGCATCCATAGCCAAACCTCAGTTTTTGATCACTTCACCCACTTTAATACAGTACTTCAGCATTGCTACCTGTTAAATATATGCATTTTATGTTACTAATTCAAATGCAAGAAATAATTAAGATCAAACATTTTTCTTCCCCTTTCAATCTCAATCTAATTTTGATTGCAGTACTCTTGCAGTATTTTGACATTTTATTATGAGTTATTTGAAATCTAAATTGTAAATATGGTGTAATGTGGAAACATACGGTAAAGAATTTATTTGAGGTAGCCACACAACTAACTTTAAGTTCCAGCAGAAACTGTACCCATAAATGAAAATATCAGTTATCTTCAGGGATGGCTCAAGCCGTATACCTCTCCTCGTACTGCAGTACTTACAGCTCCTGACTTCCAGTTAGTATACATATCACATTGTTATTACCCGAATACCTTTGTGTTTCAGCAGACTTCAGGATAGTCAGTGCTCAGCCCTCTGCATAGCTGTTACTATCTTTATAAAAGATGGCTTCATATAGATACAAACTTTTCAGAGAGTGCTTCCCGCAGATCTTATAAGGGCTGAAGCAACCTGGAACAAACTTTGATTAGTCTCTGCCTCATGTTCTGCCCTCACGAACTCTACCCAGGGCATAGGAAGCTACCAACAGATGTGAGAGTCACCTTCAATAAAGCAACTAAATAGAAATCTTCTTAACATTACAGTTCTCTATTGCCCTCATTTTTATACCATGCAAATTTGCTCTAGCTGCTCATTAAACTGTTTAGGAAGAATGAAAGAGAAATATGGACTGCTGATTGTAATAGAGTCCTTGAGTAATGCATAATGATTTCTAGTCTCAAATTATGGCCGGTTCTATTTTGCTCAGGGGATCCATTGCAGCATACCAGCTTTTGTGTTGGAGCATGGAAATTGATAGAGTTAAATGAATGTAAAATCTCTGCAACAGAGAACAGACTCAGCCTTAGAGCTGGAAAGCAGTTGACTGTGTAGATCTTTCAGGGGGTAACATCCAATTGCCCTCAAGGATAAGGAAGTTTGGAACCAAGTGGTACAGGTTGCTTCTACGTCTTATCTGTAGCCTGTGTTTGAAATATGTACTTCAAAGAAGAAGGGGTGTTAAAGTAATCAATATTAAAAGCTTCTGCCTCAGTAGCAGAGTGAATAGTAGATTGTTTTACATGCATCGGAACTGTTAATTGTGTAATTGCAAAATACAAGACCCCATTTGGGGAAGGCAAGAAGATGTGCTAGCTAAGCAGAGGCCTAACACTGAAGAAGAGGCTAAAGCAAGAGGGAGCTTCCCTGACTAAACATGTTCTTTAAAATGAAAATATATAGTGAAGATTAGATTTTAATCTCTTTTTTTATTGATCTCTGTCTAGCTCTGGAGATTTGTCTCCTTCTCCTAACAAAGAAGTTTGTGCAAATTTATTGTATTAGCACTGTTTGTGTGCTGAAAAGCCTAAAACAACTGTGTGACCTTGGAAAAATTTATGATTGCAGTCTGAGACTACAGGACATTGAATAAGTTTCATAAGTGAAAAACGAGGGGAACCGTAAAGAGGCCTTAGAAGTCATCACTTATCACCCAAGAAAAGTTCAGGCTCCTTGTAGTCAAATCAGATTAATATTTGTTGAATGCCAGTATACCTAAAGTGACAAAAGGTACTGAATAAGCATTGGTCTGATTTAATAGGTAATTCAATAATGATTATACCAGCTGAGCTTAAGTTCCTTCATTAGTTAGTGTATGTTTTACAGGTTTGAGCCTAGCATCTAATCTTGTCGTAAATGTGCTGATGTAAATTTTAGCTTTGCTCGTCAGAAGAAATATTTTATGAAACAAGGAAAAGTTATATTTTGAAAGTCAGATTAGGCAGTTAAAATCTGAAGTGTGGGTTGTGTATGATAGGGTGGTAGATAATATTTTGTAGTCTAGCAGTAGAAAAGTTGTCTTAGGATTCATAGGTCCTGTTATTGATTCCTATCACCAATCTATTGTGCAGTGTTGTACAAACCATGAAGAACACAACTTTTGGTACTTTTGAACAAATAAAATGGCAGTCAATATCAGGTTTGGGATGGAAGATAAGTTTACAAATCACTCCTATAAACTCCTCTGCACTTCATTTGCTGTTTGTGAAGTACATTGGAAAGCACTCTTTTCCCTGAGATGTTCAGGAATTTAATATTGCCAGAGTGCTTGCTAGTCCTCATGTTAGAGAGGGGGGAAAAAAAAAATCTATTCATAGCTACTTAGTATTGAGTTGTTTGTTTTTCAGAGTTGCCAGAAAAAGTTAAAAATAGTTAATAAAAATTGATTTTCAAAAATTAGGATTTTTTTTTTTCAATTTTGTATTTTTTATTCCTGGTTTTTAAATAATTACATCATATGACTTACTAAGGTTTGTTGTATCAAACAGGAGATAAGAAACTACCTTGCATATTCATAGGGAGGGAGAAAATATTAATATGCATTAGAGAAGTGATTTTCCCACTGTACTTGGCACTGGTGAGACTGCACCTTGAATACGGTGTTCAGTTTTGGGCCCCTCACTACAAGAAAGACATTGAGGTGCTGGAGTGTGTCCAGAGAAGGGCAACGAAGCTGGTGAAGGGTCTAGAGCACAAGTCTTAGGAGAAGCAGCTGAGGGAACTGGGGTTGTTTAGTCTGAAGAAAAAGAGGCTGAGACCTTATCGCTCTCTGCAACTGCATGAAAGGAGGTTGTAGCAAGGTGGGTGTCGGTCTCTTCTCCCAAGTAACAAGTGATAGGATGAGAGGAAATGGCCTCAAGTTGCACCAAGGGAGGTTTAGATTGGGTATTGGGAAAGATTTCTTCAGTGAGAGGATTGTCAAGCCTTGGAACAGGCTGCCCAGGGAAGAGGTTGAGTCACCATCCCTGGAGGTATTTGAAAGATGTGTAGATGTGGTGCTCAGGGACATGGTTTAGTGGTGGACTTGGCAGTGCTAGGTTAACCGTTGGACTTGATGATCTTAAGGGTCTTTTCCAACCTAAATGATTATACAATTCTATTCTATGACTGACTTCAGATATATATACACACACACACATATATGAGATGTGTGATAGGATGTGTGTATATATATGTCCTCAGAGAAGATATATTACTTTATTAGCTTTTTTTTCCCCTCTGAGACAACAATATCAGACACTGAAAATTGATCTAATTGTTTTATGTTTGTAGTCTGGGCAGTGCAATTGCTACCTAGTATCTTATCTTAACAAGGATGACAAGAAATTGGAAGATTTTGCAAGAACTGGTTTAGTGATACTGATATGCCCCATGAAATGTGGATAAATTGTATTTTTGTAGTTCCTGGTGTAGTTCCTGGTCATGCATTAAATTTTCTCATTACATTGTCAATAAGTTACATTAAAATTGTTTACAGTTCTCTTTCTGTTCTTGCTTTCTCTCTCTCTCCCCCCTCCATTCTAAAGCTGCTTAAGGAGATAGCTAGGAAACGCAGAAGCATTCGTCTTGGGAGGGAAGTTGAATTAAAGCCATATATTGCGGCTCACTTTGAAGTTCTTCCTACGGAGTTCACGTTGGGGGATAAGAAGCATTATGGTGGCTTTGAGAATAAGCAGCTGCAGAGTGGTCAAGAATATGTCTTCTTTGTGTTGGCTGTAATGGAGCACTCAGAATCTGTAAGTTAGTTAATATTTTTCAATCCCAAAATTACCTTTCCACAATCATGAAAACATTTTTCCAATGCTTATTCCATTTCCCAAAAGCTATTTTTTTACAGTATGTGTCAGAGCATCTCTAAAGTGAGTGTTTCCTTGCTTAGTTCCAATTAATTCCTTGAACTTTTCTATTTTGCTTGCGTCTTTATGTGTTGCTTCTGTGTATAACTGAAACTAAGGATCACCTTTTATTAGCTGTGGTGTGATCCTTCGCAAATTACATGCTCAGATCATTTGAGATCATTGACACAGGTTCTGAGGCATGAACTTCACAGCAGCATCTTTCTGAATGTATTTAAAAAAGAGCTCCTCTCTTGCCTTAATACTGCCATTGAATAGTGGTGTTGGATACCCAGGATTCTTGGAAAGATCCATTGAATCAGAGACATGCACAGCTAGCCTCTTTAGTTACAGTCATTCCCTAACAAGTTTATCAGTGAATTGTTAGAAAGTTAGAAAATAATTCCATAATAAGGAAAATTCCTGAGGTGAGCTAAATAATAAGCTGTCATTCCTCTTTATGTAATGCATCTTGTAGTTATGTCCCTTTATGCTTGAGTTAATCTAATGCATGTAATATAGTTAAAAAAAAAAAAGACAGAAATAGGGCTGTTGAAAGAAGTTGCAATACACATTGACATTTTAACATACACTGTGTAATATGGTATCTTTTTAATTGGTACCTAAACGTGACAGGTACATTTGCTGGCTCAACCACTTGAAACTACTACACCAATAATCTGAATTCCAGTGAAATGCTTCCAGTGTGTAACCTTACAATTGCTTTCTTGATGTCAACAGAATTTGCCTACTTAAACACAATGAGGAAGTAGTTTCAATTTGAATATTTTTGGATACATAGCTTCATTTGAAAATAAAATAAGTGCCTCCTGGAAGCTCTAACATAAGTCCAAAGTTCCCCTTTCACTTTTTGTCAGTGGCTGCGCAGCAAGAGAATTCTGAAGGTTCAAACTGGAGAAAGTAGACAACTTCTGGCTATAAAGTTAGATGGCCAAAAATCTGTGTGTCAGAAATCACCTGTACTAAAATTGATCTTTTAAATACAAAGTACCGTTTCTTATTTATTTTTCTATATTAATTAAGGCATTGGTCATTTCATATAACCCTAAGGTTACTACTTCATTAGAGAGAAATCAGGATGAAAAAGCAGAAATTATAGAGTTGTAAATTTACAGCTGAAAAGTCTGGTATGGCAAAATATATCCAGGGGCATACTGTTGAAGATTTGAAAAGGCATTACTAAACTTACAATATGGACAATATCTGGTTTAGCATGCCATCTGAAACATCTATGTGATTAAGTAGCATGAGGTAGTCACAGAGAATGAAGAGTTTGTAAGGGTGAGTGAGCTTCAATTCCCAGTGTTCCAGTGTATCTGCTCAATATAGCTGGTTTTCTTCTAGGGCTATAGATCCTACTGGTGTATGAGTTGTCACTTGCAAGGGATGGTTTTCCTGATATTCAAAATACTTTTTACGTAAGGTTTCTCCTTCAGAGAACATAAAATTTCTCTGTTGATTGGGAGAATGGAGAACTTGCTTTACAAAAGGGCATGGGGAGGTCTGAATTTGTTTAACTTAGTAAAATGGAAGCTGAGAGAGCTTATGATTACGGTCTATAAATATGTTAAGCATGTTATCAAGAGGAAGGAAAAAACCAATATATAAATTCGGTAAAATAATAAAGGAGTTTAAATTAGTCATTAATACAGGTAGGTTGAAAATTAAACTCAAGATCCTACTTATTGGAGAACAGGTAGTAAGTGCTCATACTGTTGACCCTCAGTATCCCTCTGTATCCCTTTCCAGGCATTTTTTCTGCCTGCTCCAAAGGAAGAGGCTAAATACAAAGAGTTTCTTACTGTTGCAATGGGCTTTTTTCTATCTTTTGAGAATACTGAAGCTGAGAAAAAAAACTCAGTCAGCTCAGGTGTTTCAGGAATGCAACATGGAGACTCCCCAGTTTCTAAACGGCAATCACAGACTTTTAAAAAATTTGGTGCCAGGTTTAGTAAAAAAGCATAACATAACTGGACATCGCTGGCATGGGTACTAGCTCAGTACCAGCTAGTGTAAGTGCCTCAGCTTTGCTGGTCCTAATCCTATCTCTAACCTTAAACCCAGACACTGTCGTAGCCCAGAGCCCAAAATAAGGTCAAATGAAGTGTAAAAAAACATGTCTCCTTTGACAACACTTGTCCTGGCTTAGGGCATCTTTCAGAGTATAGTGCAAACATGGTAAATGAAAAGTATTCTCTTCTCCTGGTTATCTTATTCTCTCTCAGCTGGCATTCCTGCTGTACTGCTGAATCAAGTTTTTAAGTCCTTTGCAAGAGCTGTAGTTCAAATCCTAGTTTAGTGCTGGTGGAGACACTCCAGCAAAGACAATAGGTGCAAACGATTCTCCACTTCTGACTTTACTGTAGCTCAAAGTTCTTTACATGATCCATTTTTAGCAGGCTGGCTCCTCAGCCTGTCCTGTCTGTAATTTTAACTCTGCACTCAGTCATAGATCAGACATCTCATGTCAGACCAGAATAAAAAAAAGTTATTATTTTCTTATCACAGGTCTTATCCTAGGCCAGCTGGCTGTACACCATCCAGTAAGGCAAAGATTTTCAACAGCCTCTGTTCGTTCATAATTCTAGTTCCATCCCTAAGAGAGACTTTGACTATTTAGCTTCCCTTCATATTCTACAGTGGCTTCCCCTGTTTTTCAGTCTTAGATTCAAATTGTCTCCATCTTCTGTAAGAACACTCTGTCAGACAGTTTTTGACTGATCAAAATGCATCTGACTATTGCCATAGGACCCTTTTCTAGGAACCTCCTACATTCAGTCCCCTTTATTTTTCCCTATAGTACTCTCATTCTTTCAGAAGTATCCTTTCATATCTTGCAGGAAGAAATAGTGTTAAGCCAATATGAAACTAAGAAAAAAAAAACAAAATTAGTAACTGGTGGGTTATATTCCTCAGTTTCCTAATACTTCATTTTCTCATTCTCTGCTTAAGTTGCAAAGTGTTCTCTGAAGGACTGTGTTAACTCATTTGTCTGCAGATCACTGCTAATATGTGGAACACAAAATAAAGATAGTAATAACAACACACCATTCAGTTTGCAAGTTTATATACTACCTGACTTGAAGAAAAATAGCATTTTCGCATTCATTGCATCATTATCTTGTATAGATTTATTTTAGATCTAGGATAGTTAATATTTTAAATGGACTCCTTTATCATTAAGTAAGATTTATTTTATTTGTATAGACCATGTATGCAACCAGCCCATATTCTGATCCTGTTGTGTCGATGGATCTTGATCCCCAACCAATTACAGATGAGGAAGAAGGCTTGATTTGGGTTGTTGGACCAGTTCTTGCAGTGGTGTTTATCATCTGTATTGTTATTGCTATACTTCTTTATAAAAGGTAAGTTTATCTTTTCATTTTCTAACCAGGTGTGTAACTTTCTGATATGTTGGCCATTTTATAATACTGTTCCACACTGTATTTTTTGTACTACAGTAGTAACTGTCATTGCTTTGGGATATTTCCGTATTTATTAATGGTTTCCAGAACACTGCAGAAATTTTAGTACATTGACTGAAAGTTTCCAATAATTACAGGTATGTGGGTACATTTTTCTGCTGATGACACTCTATTAACATTTCTGCATTTAAATGTTTTTTCCACTTTGCATACATTTGTGAAGAAAATATGTGCTTGCATATAAATATGTATGGAATTCGCACATTTGACTTTCTAAAACTTATTTTTAGATGTGTAATAGTAATACATTAGGGGTTCCATTCAGCTTGATGTTAAACGTGATTTTCATCTCCACTCAAGTAATTTGAGTTTTTACTTTTGACAGTTGGCCTCAATTTGGCAGTGTATCTACATGAATTTGAAGCTCTGAACTGAGAGATTAAAGAAACATCAGTAGCTGTTTTCTACTAATCTTGCACTGAGATCAAACTTAACTTATTCTTCTTTCACTGTCTATGACACAGATGTAGGTTTGCTATTATACAAAGGACTTCCCTCTGCCTTACCACATACTAGATGAAAACTGTGTATGATGCCTTAATTTATACATAGCAGCCTTTTACAGTGTAAGTGAGTTCACAGGGGTCAAGATACTAAATCAAAACCAAAGAATCAAACCCACAAAGTTTATTTTAATGTTTAGATTTTGTTCCTAATACATTTTTGAAATACATTGATGAAGTATAATTGGGGAATACTATAAAGACGCTGTGACCTTGTCAGGGGGGCACACTAGGGATAATTTCATTAAATGGAGTATGTCTTCTAAAATTAATGGCTATGATGCTATCACCTGCATATAAATATTTAAATTCTGCTACCCTGTATGCTCTTCCCACCTTAAGTGACTCCAGTCAAATACTTCTGAAGTTGCATGTAGAGAACCAGCTTCAGGTTTTGGAAAGAGAATTCTCTGTTCAGCAGTAAAAAAACAGTCCATGGTTAGCTTTGGATTCCAACTAGGTATACAATTATAGAATGTTCTTTAGGGCTATAATCATACAGCAGCATAATACACGGTCTGTTGCTTGCAGATATTATGTCTCCTGAAGGTTTCTATTAGTGCCTAGTGTCTCAGCCAATCTAATTGATTAGCAACCAGTGAACCTCTGTTTGTGTCTGTCTGTCACTTCAAAAACTGGTCATTAGAGTTGTGCTAAAAGTGAAATACTCCTTTCTTCTGATTATTTTGGAGTATTAAAAGTAAAACTTCTTCCATACTACAAAACGAATCCAAACAATGGCATATAAAGCAGATGTGTAACTGCTTCTGGAAATATTGATTACATATATGGAACCATAATAACAATCTTCAGTTCTATTACCAAAAAAATTACAGGCATATTCCACAAATGATCAGGTAAAATTTGCTCAAGTAGTGTGAAGAGACTGTCATTCACTGAAAATGGGGGACACATTTTCCATCTGTTATTTACTGCTGGTACTAGAACTATTCAGGCAAATGTCCATATGTATTTATTTATTTTTCTATTTTCAGCTATAAGCCGTAAATTCTTAAACTGCACTGATTTGGCAAATAACCTCTGGGAAATTATGACTGTGGTTTTACTGGTCTATGGTCCTCTGTGAACTTTCCATTTCTGTGAAAAAAGAAATACATAATTGGATATTTTTTTCTAGAGTATGCAACCTGGATGCAAGCTAACAGCTAGAGTTTGATAGCTTCACTGTCTGTAGAACAGCAATAACTAGACAAGACGGTAGGGATATTTAGCATAGCGCTTTGAGAAAACAGTGACATTTAATTTCTGAGTTAACTCTGTTAAAGGGAATTACTGTGGCTACAGGAGTTGGACATGGTAAAAATATGCAACGAAAAGTAGGAAAACAAGAAATTTTCATGGATACAGGAAATTTTACAAGTATATTTCTAGAATATATTGGGGCATAAGTGCAACAGGTATGATGAGGGAAGAAAACAAAGAATAGAGGACAGCTGCCTAATGCATGAAAACACATGCGAAAAACATTAAAAAGGGGAAGATGATGTTGAAGGATGTGCAATGGGAAGAAGACGACTGGGAAATGACCATGTCTTTTGAAGTGTGAAGGGTAGTAACTCAAATAATGGTCAACTATGCTTAATTCCCTTTGTCCATAGAAGCCTTTATGAACAGACTTGGACTGCTAATCTCATGGTTTACAATACTACTTTTACATTTTAATGTCAATCATAGAGAAAGGATGACTGCAGTTTCTAAAAGAATCATTTTAAGGGGAGAAGTCTTGCCCTCCTTTAAAACAGACGCTATCACAGATAGTGTGGATAAGTTGCATGGGTTGGTGTGAAGCATATTTAACTGTCCCAAAGACTAGGAGTGCATGTTTGACACCTTTATTATTTGTTGGTCAGTTTGTATAAAGGTTATTGCCTCTGCATTTACTCTTCTTAAAATCTGAAAGCAAAGATACTGCATAGAAAGATTTTTGGATCATATATTAGAATATAGCCAAAAGGTCATTGCAGCTTAGTAGTTAACAGTAATAGATGGGGAAAATACTGAAGAGTACCTTTTGTTGTCATCGGATATAGCTGCAATATAATATCCAACACAATTGGGGCTGATTAATGTACTGTGTGCAGAAGAGCTCACAGATTTCGCAGAACCAAAGGGTCACACTTCTGGAGATTGCCCTGTCCCAGCCCTGCTCAGAGCATGGGCAGCTACAGCAGGTTGCTCAGCGACATGTCCAGGCAAGTTTCAATATAACCAAGAATGGAAACTCCATAACCTCTTTGGGCGACCTGTTCCAGTGTTCAACTATCCTCACAGTAAAAATGTTTTTTTCCTGAGTTACAGTTGAATTTCCTGTCTTTCTGGAGTTAATGTCTTGGAAAATGGAACTGACTTGGCCAGTGACCAGTTCGGTGTTCTCTGTCATTGCGGCAGTGATACCACCCTGCAGTCATAGTGAAGGGAGACAATTATTTTGGAGCAGATCTTTAATCTATTGGACTTAAATCTAAACAATCAAATTTGGGAATCCAAGTAAATTAACTAAACATCACTTTCTTTTTGGTTATATTCTTGCCCTCAAGAAAGTAAAATTTTTGCTGGTTCAAACATGGAGTAAAATATTCAGCATAGTAAGATTTATATCCAAAATCTCAAACAAAGGCAAACACTTACCTAGATACAGAGATGGTGCAGGCTAAGTCTCCCCTAGAGGCAATGCCTAACCATTATGAGGGCTGTTTGAGTCACAGTTTATATCTCAAAGTGATTTTGATAAAGCACTACCCTGCTGGAACCTACAGCTTAGGCAAACCTACAGTAAATCCTTTCGACTTGGTTTTGAATGTATGATACATGTTCAATTACACAGGTTTTAGATGGTTAGGAACCCAGTTACTGGATGTTAAAGAGCTCTAGAAATTGTGTGGTGTATCTCAGAAACTGACAAACTAGAAAGAGAGTGCATGTCCCCATGAAGCATTTTCATCCCTTTTTTTTTCCAACATATAAATCTATGTGGCTATTTCTCCTGGTTTTTAAGAAATCACAAGTTCTCTATTTTCAGCCTTTCGCTGATGAAGAGCAAAATGTTCCTAATTCTAGATCTTTCTAGAGTCTTGTTTGTTTATGGAGTGGGTTTCCCTTTGTAGGGAAAAGAAATGAAAGCCATCTTGACAGACTTTGTGTTGTTTGCTCTTATAAAGTGCAGCTTTTTGATTTGGTTCAGAAGACAGGAGCCTAAGTTTGAATCTTTTGAACATAGTGAACTTTGGTACTCTGAATCGTAGAATCATAGAATAGTTTGGGTTGGAAGGGACCCTTAAAGGTCACCTAGTCCAACCACCCTGCAATGAGCAGGGACAGCTTCTACTAGATCAGGTTGCGCAAAGCCCCGTCCAACCTGAAACCTGTGCCACTGTTTCACCACCCGCAGCGTAAAACATTTCTTCCTTCTATCTAGTCTAAATCTACCCCGCTTTGTTTTAAAGCCATTCCCCCTTGTCCTGTCGCAACAGACCCTGCTCAAAAGTTTGTCCCCATCTTTCTTATAAGCCCCCTTTAAGTACTGATAGGCTGCAATAAGGTCTCCCCGAAGCCTTGTCTTCTCGAGGCTGAACAACCCCAACTCTCTCAGCCTTTCTTCGTAGAAGAAGTGTTCCATCCCCCTGATCATTTTCGTGGCCCTCTTCTGGACCTGCTCCAACAGGTCTGTGTCTTTCTTGTGCTGAGGACTCCAGAGCTGGACGCAGTACTCCAGGTGGGGTCTCACCAGAGCAGAGTAGAGGGGCAGAATCACCTCCCTCGACCTGCCGGCCACCTGCTGAATCTTGATCTATAAGAAGAAATATGCTTCTAAGGGAAAAAACAGATGTTAAAAAAAGCACAGAAATGAAAACGGGGGAATCTTAAGTGATGATGAAGGGTTCTATAAAGACTTTTTCATAACATGTGAGTAATCTGGTCATTGCAGACTCCAGGCTATTAAAAGTTTATAGAACCCCTATTTATTATGATCAACAGACAGACAGAAGGATAGACAAATACTGTGTGTATAGTAGAACCTGTTGGTGAGAGATAAATAATTTTCCCTGTTAGCTGATCTTTATACATCATAGATCACTACAGGTCTATATAGATCACTGTAGACCTCAAGTATGTGACATTCCTTCTAAACCTAAAAAGGTGTGTAATACTTGATTGGGGGAAGATTTATGCTCACCTTACTTTCCAGGGTACTGTTAAAAATTTCTTGCCATTTTATTACCTGGTTTTGTAAAATAGTTTTAAAGTTTTCTTTTTTTAAAAAAAATTAATACAACTTGTATATCTCCTGTATTCAATCTCGTTCTTTGCTTGCCTTTCTCTCCCTCTCCTCCCTTGCTCTCCTTCCCTTTCTCCTCTGCCCTCCACTTTCATCTTTCCTCTCCTCCCTCCTTCCATCTCTCTTCTCTCTAGAATGTAAGAGGGAACTACATCTTAGTGAGAAGTCATTTGTCAATGTAATGTTAACATTACTTTGATAGCTCACATTAAACACCCGTTCACCATTATCTCCGTTATCATTAAGTATTTTGATGAACTGTCATTTCTTAATTTGGTTTAGTTACATAGCTTTACTGTAAGTCAACATTTCTTACATCTCCTGTTGTCGTGCTTACCCTGTTTGCTGCTGGTCAACTAACATTTCACCTTTTCTCCCCTCTTTGCTGCATTAAAATGGAGCAGTAAACCTGACAGGTGAGAAGTGAAAAGTAATCACTCTTCGTTTAATCGAGAAAAGGAGAAAAAAAACAGTTATCATGATAATGATCTAAGACAAAGCGTCTGTCAATCTGAGTGAACGTAGACAGTAATCTATTGATACGAAGGCAACTGAAAGATCTGTTACATTGTTTACAGCACTGAAAAGTAATGTAACGTATGCAGCCAAGTTTCACTGCTTTTTTTTGTGTCTCCATGAGGTACATTTTCAAGAGACAGCACAGCTATACAATGTACATATGGTTTTATTTGTGTTTTAATGACGTTAGAACAGTGGTTCTTTGCTATAACCAAAGCTGATGAAGGAATGCATGGTTGTGGTTGAAGTGTTAGCTGCTCTAAATCTCCATACAGCTCCATACAGATAGAATCAGTGCTGACTTACAGTTCTACAAGTGAAAATGATATGGTGATCTCATTTGTCTTTGTGGATTTTTTCCACCTGTCTCAAAACCATTGCATAATCTGAAAGAACTGTGATGTCTTGTATAGTCTGGAAAGATGCAAAAATGCCAGAATGATCCTGAGAATAATGGAAAATAATAAACCATTCTATTTTCCTGTAAGTATTCAGATATATGATTAGAAGAGATTTTAGTGCTATTACTAGATTAATATGAAGTTGTGCTGCCCAGTACTGACTTGCAAGTGGAAAAAAGGTAAATGAAGCTTGTCTCTGGACAGTTACACTGATCCCTAGACTTCAGGAGAAGGAAACACAGATAAAAATACTTCTTGAAAGCTGCATCACACACCTTTACTTAGGGCACTGTGCTACTGTGGTAGGAGCTTGAGATAGTCAGAATCAAAAGTAAAAAAGGACTTTCAACTGAGTTGCTCCATAATAATTTTTTAAAAAAGAGTAAAAACAGAAGAATCAGATTTAAATCTTCATCACTTCACTGAAGAGAAGTTAATACATGTGTTAAGGTATTTACCGGAGAACAGATGGAATGTTTTTACAGCAAAACACTTTTTTTTTTCCCCCCATAAAATCATAGGACTAGTAACTTTCAAATAATTCCTGCAACAATGTTGCTGTTTGGCTTCTTTGCATAGTCTTTGAAATCTTGCTGTATGCACCTTTCATGAATGCCATCAGGTGTTCATCATTTCAAGAACAGCAAGAAATCAATTGGAGCATTTTTAAGAAGGGAGCCCAGTGGAATAATAACAGATTTAGCATTGTCACATTGTGAGTCAATTAGAAAAAAGAAAGAAAAAAAAACCCAAAACCAGTGGTAAGTTAGAGCAAATATCGGACACCTGGAAAAGACTTTGCTGTCATAAACCTTAAAATCATCTCAGTTCTGTTTTCGCAAAGTAACTTTTTGCTGCTGTTTTCATCTTCATTTTATATTACGTGAAGAATATAAACCAGTTTGCATTTTCATTCAGGAACTCAGAGAGGACTAGTGAAGAAGGATTCCACTTCAAATTAAAGCAATAAATTTCCAGATTCCTGAATGAAAATGCAGAGTGGTAAATATTCTTCATGTAGCATAGTTCTCCATGTTTTGCATCAGAAAATGATACTCTCAAATGATGGGAGTCCATTTTACCAGAACAGTCAGAGTCAGAACACACGTGGAGTCTGCTTCTCTCTAGAGAAAGGAAAGCATACACAAGTCTATCCCCCTCCCTCCCTCCCTCCGTCCCCCCTCTTTCCTCCCTCCCTCTTTCCTCCCTCCTTCTCCCTCTCTCCCCCCCTTACACCCCCTCTCTTTCTCTCTTTCTCTCTTTCTTTTCCAGTTTGTTTTGGACAGATTGACAGGAGTACTATAATTCCAGTGAAAGTCTTAATTTGATCAGAAATGTTCATATAGAATCTGAGCCTTGAATGTGTAGGTGTGATCAGATACATGAAGATTGTGTAATGCAGCTTTTACAGAGATGAGAGGCAACAGAGCAGATTCTTACTTCCTAGAAAGTGAAAAGAATAGGTGTCTTCTGGGATAGGTGTCTTCTGTTCTGTTCTCTGTCATATTGAAAGTACCCAAAGAATGCAGGTTATTTTTTATAAGCAATGCAGAGCTGTGCATATAAAGGTGTGATCAGATACATGAAGATTGTGTAATGCAGCTTTTACAGAGATGAGAGGCAACAGAGCAGATTCTTACTTCCTAGAAAGTGAAAAGAATAGGTGTCTTCTGGGATAGGTGTCTTCTGTTCTGTTCTCTGTCATATTGAAAGTACCCAAAGAATGCAGGTTATTTTTTATAAGCAATGCAGAGCTGTGCATATAAAATATGAAGTATTTAATGATGAAAACTTGGCATGTTTTTTTTTTAATTACATGCTCAAGAGTTGGCTACTTTTTCATAAAGGTATTGGTAGCTAGCTTTTAAAAGAGAGATAGTGTGAGTTTTTGTAAGTTTCATGTTACATCTTATAATAGTTAACTATTCAGGTGCCCAGAATGATGATCTAGAGGATCAGTCTAGAGCAGAATGCAGTTATTTTCCCTCTGACATTACTGTATTTAGATTCAATTTGCCATTGCAAATTGTAGCTGCCCTACCTACCATGCATAATTATTTTACCTTTGCACTAGATCAAATACTCTTTCAGAAATAAGCATCTCACCGTTAGAATATAATGATTAACACTCAGGCACCTTTATTTGTCAAGCTAACACCTCGATCTTATGTTTATGTGTATTCACCTTCTCTATGCAGGAAGAGGGCTGAATCTGATTCTAGAAAGAGCAGCATACCCAACAGCAAGGAGGTCCCCTCTCACCATCCCACAGACCCAGTGGAGCTGCGACGCCTTAATTTTCAAACTCCGGGTAAGAGACAATAATACCTCACTGAGAGCTCTGTGATCACAAGCTGATTAGTGGTGCTGTTACAGAGCAGAAAGATTGATTGTTTAGAAAAATATATTTTGATTGCTTATGAGTTTTTGCACAATGTATTTCTTTGTTAGTTTTGGAAATAATTCTGTAATTTCTTTATTTAAAGAAAAATCCTGCATGAAACAAAATCAAAGTTCTGTAAAGAAGACCCCAAAGTCATATATGTTGTATGGATGTGTTTTATGTGCTAAAATTCCAAGTTAAACCTAACAATGCTAGAAAAGATTGTTGGGAAATGTACATCCCTCTATTTTTAACGATATTCTTACAGCTACTTCTTTGTAAATAAGCTTCCCTCTTATCTACTGCATTATCAGGTAATCCATTAACATCATTGGAAGTTTCACTACCTTGCAAATGAACAATACTGAAAAGAAATACTAACTAGAGAAATGGTCTTGTCTTTTAAAATCAGGCTGTATGTTAGGGTCAAGGAGGATATTAACATGACAGCAGTTCTGAAGTAGAAGCAACACACTCCCAAAGATTTTATTTACTTATTTTATTTATTAAGCATCATTTTCTTAAAGACTTTCTTAAAGTCAAGAAACACCAGGAGAGAAATACTTAAAATAGTATTGATTTTTTTACCACCTTTTTATGAGTCTTTTTTTGGGTTTTTTTTTTTTTTTTTAAATTGGCTTTATTTTTATCATGATATATACCAGTAGGCTTGTTTTCTATTACAATATGATTGCACACAGTCCCGGTCTGATGTTAATTACTTACCGAACCTTCCTGAGCCTTGTGTTTGTCAAATTTATTACATTAAGTACAAAAAATAATGAACTCAAGCTCATAAAGGCAGGAAATTAAGTACTTGAGATGTTGAGAGATTAGCTGCAGAAGCTGACATACTAAGCATTACAAAAGGGTTAACTGAACTTGCAAATCTCATTTCTGATCTTCTAAACAGTGGCTATATTAAGATAGTGTTGCCCCAGCAGGAGTGGATCTGCAGAGCAATGAATCCGGGGCTGAAGACGCAACTTCCAGACTGCATGCATATGCAAAGGTAGAAAGGGAAGAGGCTGGAGGCTTGAGCTTTACCCCAGCCTTGCTTTTTTAGTCTGTTCCAGTACACTGAATGCTCTTTAGCAGCTGGGGAAAATTAGGTGTGTTTCAGGAGTGCATCTTCTAGTTTAGTTTCATCTGAATATGGGCATCTTGTTGACGTGCTCTGGGACCTCTCTACAATATGAACCTAAGTGCAGTAAATGGAAATGATTGAAAGTTTTGATTCACAATTGTGCTTCTGAGACTGCAATATTAATGTAGAATCATCCTTACTGAGCAAAGGTTTCATATGTTATCCAGCGCTTTCATACAAAGTTTTAAAGGTTGTTACAGAGATAGAAATATACATACAAGTCTTTGAAACATGAAAAGAAAAATTACAGTTCTTACAGTTTAGCTTATGCCTAAAACAAGTCATTATCTATATTCAGATATATACTGAGTAGAGTGGATGGCTTAATAAGTAGGTATATAAGCATAATTTTCTGCTGTCCATGTATTTCGATGTGGAGTCTTACCTATCCATTTAGTATTCATCATAAATTAAAATAAAATGTGGGCAGAAAAAAAATGCTGCCAAGACTTAACAACTTTACATATAAAGTTAATTTATTGTAATTAATTCTAAATTTACGTTTAGAATGTAAAGTTATTAAGAAATGGCAGAATTTGTGGCACTTGTAGACACCATAATTCCACCTCATTGATCTGAAAAGAACTGGAGAGGCGTGGAAGTGTACCTTTCCTTGCAGTGCTATAGTTTATCTGGGAAGTTTGCAGTTTTCTGTGAAGCTAGCTGAGCAGAACATCTGCAATCCATTTCTACTATGAGGTCTTTTTCTTTGCTGTAAAGCTTTTCACAAAATGAAGGATTAAAATTATTATTAAAAATATAGTACAGAAATCAAATTACGATCTTTTTTCCTACTGTTGTACCACCTAAGACCCTTAGCACAGGTCAGGCCGTTATGTTACTCATCATGCAACCAAATACCAAGGAGAAAATTCTTACCCCTGGAGATTTGTCTTGCTCTGTAACACTTGCTAATTAACATATTCTTAATATGTAAACTTAGCCCCAGTGAAGTCAAGGTACAGTTCTTGTGCTAGTAAAAGCAGAACCTCACTTAACTCACATTAACTTCAATTAGGGCTATCATTTCATTAAAATCCTGCTGAATTTAATTTCTTTATTTAGATCCTGCTGGAATGTTTATCCAACTCCACACAGTAACACTCTGTTAAATAACATGCAAGACAAAGCTTTTCAAGACAAATGTAGAGAAACTACAGAAAGGCTGTACATTCAGGACACCAGTTTTGCTGGTTTTGTTGTTCTTTCACTGTCAGATGTGTGTTTTTTCTTTTCTACCAGGTGGCAGAAATAGGCAGTAGGGTACTGCTGGGGCAAAGCAGGCAGCTGAGAGAAGGAATTGGGGCTGATGTGGTTATGTGTTGCGTTTCCTTTACTGAGATATCTGCAGTCACCCTCATACGATGGCCTTATCTACTCTGTAAGATGTTACCATTTCTGAACATTGCCTATAGATAAAATAAATGACAGAGTGGTGAATGTACTTTAATAATCAGTGTATGCCAAGTCAGTACAACTGCATCAGGATAGATGATTTGACATCATTGTTATTATAATGATTTATTTATTTAGATTATGAAAGCATCCACAGTTTGCTTGGAGCTTTCCAGGCACACCAGTTGCTTCCAGTGGGAGGGGAAAAAAAAAGTTTATAATGAATGCATAACGTGAAGAAGTGTTAGAGAAGAAAATTTTAAATTACATTGGCATATCCAGATTGCCAGTTTTCACTAGGAGAGGTGAATGAGACAGTCCTATAAAATTCTGGGTTGTCATAAACTTTAATATTTTAAAAGATTTCAAACCAGCCTCTTTCCAAAAATGCTAGCAATCATATATTATGTGTAATGAAAGGTCTGATCAGATATAACTATCAAAATAATTTGAAAGTGAAACCCTTGTTGTGGTAAATTTGAATTTCTAACCACAAGTACAAAATACTCCCAATACAGGTGGTTAGGCATAACTTTTTGAAATAAATTATGTGAAAGCAATATTTTATCTTTGGTGATATTTAGGCAATGATTTAGGCACAGTTATGTTGTACTTGTCATAAAATTGTCAATTCAGCGTGAAGATGTCGTAAAAATCCACAGTCTAAACTACCAGCACAGCAAATGCCTTGCTTTTCTTTCACTTTTTCTTGTCATGTCAATACAGAACTTCATTCTTCACTAATTTAGTACATACCTAAAGGGTTTCCTATCTTACCATGTCCAGGAAGGATTAAATTAATCTCTGACTTCACTCCTCACTGGGTGGAGTAACTCCATAGATAAATTTGACATTTTGTCTTGACATTTGGAATAGCCCACAGTTCTACATCTGAGAACAAGATCCCATGTCCATATGCGGTATCCAAAAATGTATATTTGTTAGATAAGCCCATATGTCAGTGAGTCGTTCACAGCTGTGCCAAGCTTTCTTTGAGTAAACATGAAAATACCCAGTCTCTCAGTAGCATACAGGATTTCATTTATAAGTCTGTTATTCTTCCGGAACTGGAGTAGCTGAGGAAAAGTCAGTCACATTCTTCCCATTCTACATGTTTCCTATGAAATACAGGATAAAAATCATTAACCTGGGGCACAAATTTTAGAAGTCTCTATGCCACATGGAAGAGTAAAGGTAAGGACGGGGTAGTAATTAAGCCCTCACAAAAGGTTTAATCAAATGAGGAAGCCCGGTTTTGCACAGAGGAAAATAACTGATGTTAAGTGGTTTGAGTGGGTTATGAGAGACCCAAGGCTCAGGCAAAGACTTCAATCTGTCAATCAGCCAAAGAACTAAATTGAGTCATGCCTCAAAAGTGACTTTTTTTTTTCTCCTTTAAGTATAAAATGTGTCACACTTATAAGTAATTTGTGTAATTGGGTGCCAATTAAACAATTATCTCATTATCTCTTACGAACTAAATAAGATGCTTTGAAATACAAGAAAAATAAATATAATTATTACAGCTCTGAATGAAAGACTCTGCTTTTTTATTAGATAAGTAAGTGCTCACAAAACACTTACTCCCTGAGTTCCTAAGGAAGTTCCACTTTTCAAGATAAAGTAGAAAAAGGGTAAAACAGTTCCAGAGCAAAAAGGTGCAAATAACAAAAGTGGAAAAAGTGATGTCTGGATTTAGTTACCTGCTTTGCAAGTTAGCAGGAAATTTCCTCCCTTAGTTTATCCACACAATTTCTGTTTATGAGAATCATGACAATGCTGAGGGAAGTGCTGTGGTTTGTCTCCGTGGCAAAAACAGACTGGAATAGCTTTCTCACAGTGAGCGATCCTACATGTAGCTATTCATGTGAACTTGACTCACATGAAGGATTTAGGCATCTAAACCAGGTATAGGCTTCAGAGTGCAAATGGCACTTCTCCGATACCCCACTTGGTTGCTTTCAAACCTAGAGGCAATCAAAATCTGCTTAGCTGGGAGATGGAGTTTAAAGTTCTGCTCCTCACAAGATTAACTTTTTTTTGTTTCTGGATTTTAGCCAATAGTTTTGCAACATGTTATTGTATTGAACAATTTTAGATCAGGGTCTGAAAACTAGGTGTCCCCTTTTCTCAGTGTAGAAGGCTTTTACACCTCACTCAGAGCTGGGTCTTCTGCTGTGAGGCTACAGAGCCCCTAGGGCTGCTTGGTAGAGCTAAGTCTTTGATACAGAACAAAAATTACTTTCATTCCAGAATCTAGTTTTGAAGAAAATAAATTCTTCTGGAATAAAACTGACTTCATTTTGCAATATTATATACACATTGGTAACTATTTTAGAATAGCTATTGCAGAACGACATACTTCTCTAGAGCTAATCTTGTAAATTTAGCTTTGTACACAAGATGTAAGATCACTCTCTGACTCAGCTCTAACTGTATGAAAAAGAAATTTTAAAGTAACAGTAATTTTTTTGTCAAATATACTGAAGGCATCCTTGCTAAATTTTCATGGATGCCAGATTCCTACTGAATCAGGGTCATCTTTCATTTTTTCCATTTTCCATGTCCAAATTTTAAATATGTATTTCTTTCTAACTTTTTGATAAGGGTAAGTATCAGTAACAGTAACCATTGTTACTGATTCCTTCCTTTTTCTGTAAAGAGACATCTTAATCAACATGGAGTGGTGTGTGGGAGGGTATTCTGTGTTATTAAGTAGAAATTACTTAATTTTGTACAGTAATAAATCAGTTTTTAAAATCACAGAGTACTAATTTAATGTGGACCTGAAATACAACTCATTTCAGAAAGAAATTTCTGTGAAAATAATGTGTCACATTTTCAGTTCATCTAGATTGTAGTCTGTATGCTAGCAGATATGCGCTTTGTTTAATTTCTAACTTCCTTGTTTATTGTGGGCATGTCTATCTACAGGTCCAAATTGTAAATAAATGTGTGTTTCTCAAATGTTTCATTTCTTAAATGTTTTTAAAAGCCCTTACCATAAAAACCCTGACAACAAACAAAATTGTAATTTAACTCACTAACGACAAGGCCAAAACACCCACTTGTTTCAGTGGGGTAAAGGAGTATACTTAACAGGTTTAACGTCTGTTAATATGCAGATGAATTCTGACCTTGCTCTCTCAGTTTTTCCTTGGAATTGTGGCACATATGGTGTCCCATGTTTCTTAGTCATCTATTTACCACAGATTAACCAGAAGATAATTCTACACTGTAATTAAACCATACATTCTCATTTAATTCATGTGGAGTGGTTACTACTAGGCTGCGTAAGATCAATCACATTTGGCAATCTTCTACTAAATTTGGAAATAAAAGCTTCTTACAAATACAATTTCAGCTGTGTTTTGCATGTGGTGGTTTTGGTTTTTTTTTTCTGTTTGAGTTTTTAAGTGTGTTTATCTATTTTTGTATTTTAAAGAAAGTTTGAAAGCATGTTTTCAGCATGGTGTTCCTTTTGACTTTCTAGCATGTCACAGGATCTGTTGTAATTTAGCTGTATTTTGTCTTTAATTTTTTGTGTTTTCATAGCATATGTTGATTGATGTGGAGGTGTGTCAGCAAAGAAGTGTATTTTCTTATTTGTAGCCACAGAAATAAGTGTGTTTAGCTGTATTTTGGGTGGGTTTTTTGAGTCAAGTTCTACACCTGCTGTTCACATGCAACTCATGTTAAGCTCAGTAGGAGCCTCATGCTTTTGAATGAGATATGATGAGATTTTAAAATGTTCATAGCATATTCTGTTATGATGCTTGTTATGATTCATAAACTGATTACATAACAAAAGTCCTCCAGCAGTTCTTTTAAAAAGTAGCTACTTTTATCATTTCAGTAGAACACATTTTATATATTTAAAAGATGAAAATATACCAAATGCAATTACTTTACTTCATAAGTTAACTGCAAAATATTTTTTGAAGAAAGTTAACAAGTGTCCAAGTGTCAGTGCCTAAAATGAGTTGTGGAGAAAGGGGTTATATGCAGTCAAAATTTGCCAATTTCTGAAGTTGTAAGTAGTTCTTTTTTTTCCTTAGAAAAGAAAGTTTTATGTTTAGTTTCATTTTGCACGAAGTGTTTAATATGAAATCTCCCCTTAGGAATGTCAGATGGCATACAGAGGAGCATATAAACAAAAATAGCTTAAAAAAGAATGGATGTTCAGCATCTTTAAAAAAAAAATTCCTTCACAGTAAGCTAATTATTGAGATTTGTGTTCATGGTGCTGGTGATTTAGTCAGGTTTATCATGTACTGAGCAAGTCTCATTCTCTTTGGTTTTATGTTCTTTATGTTTACAGTAGGGTAACTGGACCTTTAGACATCTTCTTAGTTGAGTTTCCAGACGCTGTTTTGTGCATGTCTGAACTGCCTGTATGTACAAGATTGATTGATTATGATGGTCTACTGCTGTTACTAATTTGTTTCCCATTTCCGATTGGCTTTTACTTTTTACAGCTTTGAGCAGTAATTCAGTCCCCTACGCCTCCCTGATTGGCTCTGTGTCCTCCCTCTCTAGCCAAACTACCACTCAGTCCTTATATGATAATAACTCTCTCCCACGATTCGCTCGAAAAGGTCTAAACATCTTTGTCTCTATTATTTTCTCTGTTCAAGCACTGTTTTAGATGTACATCAGTCCACCTCCATTTCTGGATCAATCTAGAGTTCTCTTGTGCCTTTTCACTCACATATTTTCCATAGGGGTGCTTGATCTGGATCAATCAGTGTAATTGTTAGATGACTGTCACCCACACTCATTTTGAGAATAGCCAAGTTCTATTAAGTGAAATTTCTAAGAAAATGGGAGACAACCAGAACTAATTCAAATAAATTAGTTCTTACGGACTAATTTGTTAATTGAAATTTATAAGAAATCTCCCCATTATATCTGACTATTCTGCTTTGTTAGTTGACTGACAGCTTGTCTTAATATCTACTTTAAATAATGTCTCACCATCACAGATGTGCTATGAAGGTAATATATAAATATATATGTATAGGGTCAGAAGAATTGGGGCCAGTGCTGCTGGACACTATTTTAGACTCTAGTATGATGCCTGAAATGTCAAAGAATCAAAAAGAAAACAAGAATTTAAAAAAAAAAAGAAGAACATGCTATAGCGTGACTGTGTTGTAAGCACATGGTCATTTTCAGCTATGTTTACAGGAAATGCAAGTTAACTGTCTTTAGGCATGCTCTTGAAATTCACGGTGACAAAGCAAACTGCATTGTGCAACATGGCTTCCAGCTTGAGCCCCCTTGAGTCATCACTGTTTTCCCTTTGTAATTTCAAGAGATCCTGGGGTTCACTAGCTTAATTTTTCTAGCCAGCTCTGATTTCTTTCCACAAGCAATGAAAACTCACTTTCATTTTAGGTGTGATAGTATAAAGCATGAGGAGAAGAATGTAAACAGTTTGGAGAAGGGTCGTGAAGACTAATAGTGTGAAACAAACATGTTCACAAATTTTTGCCTGGCAAATCTTCAGCTGGCAGATTGTTCTAGTTGACCCCACATCTTTTCTGTCTTTCTTTTGCCTCGCTGTCCCTATACTCCCTTCCACGCCCATCTCTATCTCTGATTCCCAGCTCCTCTTCTTCTTTTTCACTCAGCATCTTCATCAGTGGACAAAGATGTTTACACCTGAAGTAGATTGTAGGTACTTTTGGGGGTTGATAAATGGGGTTTCAGATTAAGCGTATTTTAAGGTACTAGTGCAGTCAGTATGTGTGTCCAGCCAAACTGTACAACCCCTGCCTCTACAATCTGCTACTAGTGAAAACATTTTTGAAGTTCTAGTTGTCTGATGTCCAATGTTGTCTTCAGTGACTGTTGTCTAAAAGCAATCGTGCATGTTATTCTAGTCATTCATAGTTGCATGTGAATGTCAGTCACCTCAAAATTTCATAAAATATTTAAGTATTTCTAATTTAGTCAGAATATGTAGTCAGTCTTCTAGACTTTGATGCATTATTATTATTAATCCTCAAGCTATCCATTTCATTTTTTATAATTTATTTTATAAGTTAGTTTTATGTTGGTTTGAGGTTTCTTTGTTTTTCACCATTTCCTTTGCAGGTTCAGGTGTCTCCGGTTACCTCAGTAACCTTCATTCTTCAAGTTCGTTTTTCTTGATTATGCATAAGTCACTTTGTTTTCTGTCAAAACACTATTCTTTCCCCTTTAGGGCTCTTTCAGTGTCTGTTTCTCGGCTCACCTTTCCTCATCTAATTCAATGGAGTTTCCATTTCATGCAGTGCAGGAGAAGGAGTTTGAAATGACATTAAGAGTCATTACTCAAAGCAGAGGTCGACATCAGGTCTAACTGTCTCATTTTTCCATGCCTAGCTAACCTCATTGACTCATATCACAGTAACTCTTTCCTCTACACTAGGATTGTTAGCTTTGGGAATATGCTTGGTGACTTCTTTTAATTTGGCTTCAGAGCTTATCTATCCAGAGCATGTCCTGCTTTGAGTAACCAAACTATTTGCCTGCTTCTCTCACATACGACATCTTTACTACTTACACATTTCTAGCCATTCTAACTATTGCATTTTCTAAATTTTAGAGCGATGCCATCACTGTAGTTTACTTTAAATTCTGTTGTTCTTTCTTGTTCAACAGGTATGGCCAGTCATCCCCCAATACCTATCTTGGAACTTGCAGATCACATCGAAAGATTGAAAGCAAATGACAATTTGAAGTTCTCACAGGAGTATGAGGTAATTTTCCCCACTTTCTCATTATTCAAATAGTTTAAATTGTCATGCTTTCTGTTTCCCTAGACTTTTCTCTGATATGTACCAGGCTCATGGTGCCAGTTTTGTATGATATTAAAACCATGATAAAAAAATTTCTCTGTGTAAAATGACTACGTTGGTGAGGTGGCTCCTTTGCTTGTAACATCTGTTCTCTTTTTATAAGGATACGTGTCAGGCAGATTCCATGGGCACATACTTGAAGTAGTGTGTGAATGATACAGCAATTACTCTCTTTAATATACACAAACATCCATCTACTCTGCAGATCCTTAGACTATTTAAGAAATCTCCTGTGTAATGTTGACAGGACATATACAATACAAGCTCCAAAGAAGTTACAGTCTACTATGTTCATTTTGGATGGATTGAAAGAATTTGCAGTTTCCTGGTGTCTTTCCTAATATAACAATTTCAAGACATTGTATCTTGCTCCTGTCAGTAATACCACATTGATAATCTGTGAATGATGGTCTGTAAGAGCATGAAGGAATTTAACTGGAAGAGAGTAATCATTGACAAGCCACCTTGTCGGTAATCCATGGAGTATACCTCCCCAGACAGGCATTGGTACTGTGGAGAGTAACAGCCTCTCATGTCCATAACTTGTGGCTAAAGGGACTTAGGTAGCCATCCATTAAACACAGTAAATTATAGCTGTTTCTTCAATGCCAATATGGTCTATGTCAAAAATCTGTGGATAAAATAGGCACTGAACCATCAGAAAAAGAATGCGTCTTTAGAGCAGCTATGGGCGGTCGTGTCAGTGATCCAAGGATTAACAGCTCCCAGAGGGATCACTGAAACAGTATTTTCTTTATAGTCTGTTGTGTCACTAATTCTTGCTTAAAACTCCCCAAGACTTTGTTAGCATGGTGGAATAAAAACCCGTATTACTCTCATTTTTTTAGAGACTGCACATTCATTGCATTTGAAGGTTCATACGAACACTGACAGTGCAATAAAAAACACCAAAGAAGACTTTCACATGTTGGTTCCATAGTAACATGTGACTGCATGGTACTGAGATCCTGTAAATGCCCCATGTATTTTGAAAGTCTTGACAGAAAATGTTAAAAATGAATACTAACTACTATGATAGAGAACTACAATTGCTTATTATTTAGTTGAACGTGTTGTTCAGAAAGACCTTAAGACTGCTCTAAAAAATAATCTCATTAAATGTCAAAAGGAAAATATAGTCTCAACAATTCATGGAAATAAATGTGTTTGAAGAGCATCTCAGGATTGCTGTTTACTGTTGCAATCACAAAAAATGTAGGAGTATCTTCTCACATTTCTGTGTGTAAATCCTATGTTCTTAAGTACGAAGATTGGAGCATATAAAGAATCAGACAGGGAAATTTATGTAACAGAATGTTCGCCATAAAAAAAGCTAACATTTGGTACAAAGTTGACAATCATTTCCTGTTGTACCATGGGCAAATTCCTTGGAATATCTGCGTAGGAAATTCCATTGAATAAATAAAAAATGTCATTACAAGTCATATAATGTAATATAACTTCCATAAAAATAAACAATACACCTTTACTATGTCTTGAGCATGTTGTGGAAATAACATGGTTCTTCTTATGCTGTAATGTAACTTAAAAGTTTTGGTGGTTTCTATTTCCTTTATTACACTAAAATAATTATAAGAACATAATCTTAAGCATTTATAGTCAGCATTGTGAAGATACATTAAATCATTAAATTCTTAGTATCTGTCCCTCCAGAACTTTTTACCAGTCTGTGTAAACAGCCCAGCTTTGGAAATAACATGGTTCTTCTTATGCTGTAATGTAACTTAAAAGTTTTGGTGGTTTCTATTTCCTTTATTACACTAAAATAATTATAAGAACATAATCTTAAGCATTTATAGTCAGCATTGTGAAGATACATTAAATCATTAAATTCTTAGTATCTGTCCCTCCAGAACTTTTTACCAGTCTGTGTAAACAGCCCAGCTTTCACATTCTTTTTTTTTTTTTTTTTTTTAAAAAAACGAACCATGGGGGGCGGGGGGGTAGCATTTAAAG